CGCGGCCGCACCGCACCGCACCGCACCCGCGCTGCGACAACTGTTAGTGGGAAGGCCCGTAATTGAGCTCGCTTCGACGAAACGATCAGCATGCTGCAGCAGAAGGGCCCGCGCCACCGCGTTGCCACCGAGCCCGGTTTCTTCGGCCGTTGTCAATTTCGCCACAGCCCTAATTACCTTTTCGAAGAACCAGTCGGCGTGGCGTGCGTCTCTCATTAGCAACATTTCCTTTGTACGCCTGAAATACTGTATAATATATAAGTATTAAATCCAAAGCCCGTCAACATATTCGCAGCTTATACTCGGCACAGCGCTTAACAGTTAGAAGATGCTTCTTTTAACAAAAATAATGAAATATGAAAGCTCTTCCACTTTATCATATTTTAACTCAATATACTTTTTTAATGAAATGAAAAAGCAATTCCAAAATATAAATAATCAGAAACTCTATAGTTTACCTAATGATATATTGAGCGCCGATTTATACCTATGCTCTATTTTTTAGAACCCAAAGGCCCAGATCTAAATTAACGAGCTAATTTCCTCCCATTCATCCTGTTCGTCAAAACCAATATTCTGAATGTTAAAATGTAATAATAATTAATGGTTAACATGAATAATATTTGGTGTGCATGAAATCCAGTAATTTTTAAATCCTGGGTCCAAACTTTTGACAGTCCTCTCGTCAGTTTTAAGGGGTTTAAAAAATAGGTTACTTGTTTTACTTAATGACATTTTGATTTTTTTAATTGACGCAGAAAGCTTGAGCCTTGACTTTTGATCCCTTTCCAATATCGTTGTCCGGTTGATTGTCAATACCCGGAACCAACGCTGTCACGTGGATAAACTTGACGACACAATAATGTGGTTAATATATTTTTTACCCATTTCGTTAGACGGGTGATTGACTCTCTGGACAAAAACCCGGACATGGGCCATGGTGCAGACTCCGGCATTGTTTATGGTACATTATCATTGCAGATTGTGGAGCGTAATTAAAACTTTTTTTACAACTCTTCAGTTCCGAGTACTGGCGAGCGAAGAAACATATTTTAATTTTAAACAACACTCCTTTTTTTGTATGTCGTATTAGGTTATGAGATATCATTATCTCATAATTATCTTTAAGAAACGATACACGAATGTTTTTTTGTTATGAGAACGTTATTCTAGATGCGAATCGCATGAGAAATTAGACAGCCCTAAAAACCTAATTTATATATGCACGCAGCTCAATGGTTATAGGCAAAGCATGATACGTAATATTTGTTTTTATATAACATATTATCGTTTTATAAGTAAAGTTTATGATTTATTCATAAATTTATTTCAATATTTTATCATAACTACGATCTGATCGGCGCGCGTTTGTTTAAAAGGTCAGAATTATCCGGGGTAAAAGGAAATATTGTTCTTAGTAATACATACTTACATTTATATACACAAAATTATTCCAATTTATGTTAACATAAAAGAGACTTTTAGTAAAAAACCTAAAATTGCAATTGTAATGTATTTATACCATATCCGTTAAGCCAGAGTACAAGACTCTTATAATGCAATTTATACGAAGAGAAAAGCATACATGATGTTGGGAAGATACGCGAATGATTTGTTACAGGTCGGGCGAGTGCAACCCGACACGCGGGTCAAAGACCGGTTCGAGTTTCGGAAATATTCGCAGGCTGAGCCAGGAGGGGCTGCGGTGACCTCATCTCGAGCTCTTTTATTTGGACTTCTCACTCTTCACGCTACACTGTTATTCGTCATTAAAAATTAACGTCCATACTTTTCTGTACAACTTTGTGGTTATAAAAGCACAAAGGAAAGGAACCTTTGTCAGAGATTCCAGTTATCAACTCGGATTTCTTTTGCAGCTTCCTGCGTCAAAGGCTTTGTTCACATAGTAATTATAACTCAATGCTGTAGGTTAGCGGATAATATTCCCCTTTGTTATCCTACTCTGTAAGCTAACGTTTCTTTAGTAAATAACATATTCTAGCCTGAATTATCTTATACGAATTCAGATATTTGCAGCTTAACAAGTACCGAGACATGACGAGACGTGCAGTTGCATAAGTGATTCGACAGCTGCATTCCGAGAACTTTGGGAGGGCATCACAAAAAATTGTTAAATGATTTAAAATTATCGAATATGATCGAAAAGGTTTGACAGAGAATAATAAAATGAGCTTAAAAATTTATTTAGAAAAAAATTAACGCATAGTATTAATTAGATAAATTACAAAAAATGGTTCTGTAATATAAATTATAAATAATGGATAGTACTTTAAAATACGTGTAAAAGAAATGAAGATGGATATGGCGATTTACCATTTTATACTATGGAAATTTATAGAAATGGTGAACATTATTTTGTTGATCTCAAATTGATTATTAGAAAACTAAATTGTGGTTACAATATCGGAATTTAGGTTGCTGTGCAAAATTTCTAAGTATCTATTTCAATTTATTGGCTACGTAATAAAAATGTTTAATTTATGTTGTATAAATAACAATAGCGGCACATGTCTGTCGCCAGAGGGCGCAGAGGGCGCGAGGGGAGAGCAACTCACATGCGGCGGGCCCACAAAGTGCACCGCACTCGACGGCGAACTTTTTATTTGCTTTTCCCTTTACTTGTTCGCTTAGTTATGGATTTCCGCCGGCAAAACCGCGTGCGTGCATCGGAACCCGTTTCGAAAAGCTTTCTTTGAATCCTCCTGCCGTAAGAAAATAAACAACTTTTACATAGGCGCGCGGCACGCAGAATGCTGCTTCGCTCGTGTTGCTACACATATTATTTATTATAACACGGAACATGGTGTCGAAGTTCTCCACCCACCATGCGGGCGTCACTGAATCAAAGTGCAAACCAATTCGATTATCATGTACTAAGAAATACACATTTTTTAAGCAAAGAAATACTTATCTTGCTAATTATTGTAGATGCGAAAGGTTAGATGGATGGATGGATGGATGTTTGTTTGAAGTTATCTCAGGAACGGATCGACGGATCTTGCTGAAATTTGGCATAGATATAGAACATAGTTTGGAAGAACTCATACGCTCATTATGAAGGTTTTTTTCAATTCCGCGCGGACGGAGTCGCGGGCGACAGCTAGTATTAGACACGGATTAAAGATACTATTAAGAATCGCTGACATCCGATGTAATTATTTTGATGTATTTAAGAAGTCTAACAAAGAGCCAAGTAAATATGTGCTACAAAATTTCTACGTAGATGCGCCTGTGTGAGTCTGACATACATTGTGTTTGCACTACAACGATCTATTCGCGCATTATAAAATTATTAGCCTATTTAGTTATCTGAGCAGCGTTCATATGGTATGAGTCAATTCTTTAGAAAACGTTAAATATATTAACCCCGATCTCCCAGGGACATGTAGTTGTAAACATACGCCGGCACTTTTAATAATTGTTTCGTAGAATCTGTAACAAGTGTTACATAGGTATTTGCAAATATGTTATGTATACAAATCGTAATGGAGGGGGTAAATGTTATTTGGAGATTGGAAGATCAGATCGGTCTGAAAGCAATATAACAATAGTTATTTATGGGCCGGTTCGACCAAGGCACTCCCACGACTGCAGTCGATGGTGAACTAGATATATATTCTATCTTCAGCGTTTCCTCTGGTAATGGATTAGTATTAGGTCCAATGATTGGATTGCCGAATGTTAATTTCCCTTCTTTTTTCATATTCCTTTTCCGTTCAATGTCAATTCTGCCAAAACATCTGCAACTCATCAAGGTCTTTCTTGTCTATGGATAGGTAGTACGATAATTGAACAGCTTGCACATTGCCTCCAGTATGTAAATGGATAATTATGTATGGTAGAGAGAAAATTGCGTGAATTTGGGCAGGCCAGCGCCGGCGGTGGGGGGAGTGTCTTTCGAGCATTTCGGGGAACCGATCCCGGCGCGGCCTTGCGATCGCATCGCCCGAATGTTTGTTTTACTTTCGAACGATTCAAAAACGGCCACCGCGAAATTTTAGTGTTCGCGGTAAACGCGCGGCCCCGCGGCTCGCAAACCGTTTGTTTGCGCGCTGATTCGCCGAACGGTGCGCAGCTGGCACCGCTCAGCGACCTGCCCGCTCCGCAGCCCGCCAGTAAACATCGCCCGTGGAGTTTTCTCATACATCACAATCAGTTCAAACACTTATGTTTTTAATTCGTTGGTAGCATACTTTATTCGCATAGGATAAATATTCGTGGAAGATTTCATTTCTTTGAACAACTGTTCATCTATTTTCTTAATCTATATTATATTGCAGTATTTTAATCGCATGTGATTTCTCGTTGGACACCCTTTAGTCACAGAGACGTTAGTATAACGTTCCCATGTCTGACGCGAGGAGATTTCCTCATTGTCGATCGTTTGATGCAACACGTTTCGCCGAAATGGCGTATCCCCCGCAGCTGCACCGGAACGGTGCTCCATTAGCCGCTACTGCGAATTGTTGCACTCACCTACCCCGCCACCGCCTCCGTAACTACTATCCCGCTGTAAATCAATTGTATCGCAAAATCACATTACGTAGAAGATATTAACGGAGATGATCCGATCCTGCGCATTCGCTCTTTTGCGCGTGCGCAACCAGTCGTTACAAGCCGTTTATGACATGATGTATGTGTTCTTTTTACCGTTTCGACGAATTATGGTTATTTTAAATGTGATGAGATAACATGTAGTTTCTATTTCACATCGAGTTGACTTTAAATTAGTATTACGTATAATAAATAAATAAAAACCAGGATATGATAAACTGGTATGTTTTAAGGTTTCATGTTTCTTAGATCTACGATTTTACACGACTGACTCAAGATTATGTTCTTCACGCGTTTATATGTCACCTGTATCCTAAACGATTGATAGAATTTTGACAAGTGCCAATGGTCTCATTTATTCTTCCTCTGAGTGTACTTTTTTATTTTTAATTAACAAATTATAAATGTATTGTTTTGTTGTATAGGTTCAAGGACGGCGTTGCGTACCCGTGGTCTGCCGGCGTGTCGAATCTGATTCTGTACCCCGAGGCGGCCAACCAGACGCTGTACACGCGCCGCGCCGCCCGCGCCGACTCCGGCAACTACACTTGCCGCCTCAGCAACGAAACCCACAGCGAGACGCACAACGTACGACTTGACATACTAGGTAATACATAATAAGACCACTGAAACACACCAACTGCCACACAAAAAAAATAAAAACAAAAACATTGCAAAAGGCCATTCAACATTTGGAACAAACTCTGCGTCAATGTGGTTTCAGTTTGTTTAGCTGGCTCCTTTGCACTTGTATGAATTTAATGCACGAGTCGATCTTAGACAGGTTCAGTGAGTGACACAACCTGCCAGTTCACTTTCATATATAAAAATCCTACTGGCTCCCTTCTGTTATAAAAAAACGTGTTAAAGCATCGATTGACAAAATCTATCTTTCTTCATTATTATAAATAAGAATATTTTCATGGATGTATGTTTGAAGGTATTTCCCGAATGGCTACATAACCAGGCATAGATGTAGAATATAGTTTGGAAAACACATTGGCTACTAATTAAGTTTTTTTTTTTAATTCCGCGAGGACAGAGTCGCGGGTAAAGCTAGTATTTTCATAAAATTTAGTTATGAATGTATCAAACGAAGTGTTTGTATCATAAAATGACATCACAGCTTACAGATGGAAATATTATACAAGTGGTTGATATTAAATATACAATGGCAGGCACGGAGCGCTCGGCAGCAACGCTTCAGTAACTCTTTTCACAATTTTTCATTTAAGATTAGATCGATGATATAAAAGCAGAAAATTTGAATGAAGATGTTTGTTGGTTGTTGACTTATTTATTCTACCAGTTTTACCTTTTATTTTTTAAATATTACTTATTTATAATATTAGTAAACTTCCGCAGCATTTGTGTTAATTTACATTTTAAAAAACACTTCATCAAACAAAATGAAGACGGGATAGATGCATTTGTTTTCTACTAGTATGAAATGGTCTATTGACTGTATTTAATCCATAGTAGTAGTATATATATACTCTAGTAATAGTAAATATTTTTGTAATATTAATGTGACAAGACAAGGATAATTTCTAAATCCTGTTCAATATTGGCACGAGTATCGAATTCCACGTAAGAGTTATGCCACATTAGCTATCCGTGTGCTGTAATGTGTAGATATCACGTCCGCCACCAGCCGCCGCGCAGCCGTGTGACTGATCGTAAGGCACGACGCTTCCGAGAACACGGCTTATCGATCGTGATACGAAAATCTATTATCGATCAATACTACAAACGCCATCTGTCTGCTAGCACCTAACAAACATGCTCTTAACTAAAAAGTAATAAAAATTATATTTAGTAGTAATGTTCATAGCTACCTATTTTATATGTATAAAGAGATAACAAACGCCGAAAAACTTAAACGTGCTGGGATGTGAAACCGTTTGCAAATAAATTCATTTACCTATTTATTAATGTGCATCCCGAGAATTTGTAGACAAAATTATGCTTACAATAAAATTCCTAACATGATAACAAATTTTCAGTACTATTTTATTAAAATTACATCCACATATTATGACGTAAAAATATTTAAAGCATAATCAAATAAGCCCACCAGTTTTTTGATTCCCGTTCATAACCACAACGCTGACAGAACGGGCTTTATTTTGCCTCATACACCGTCGCAATCGGGTTTCGTTCGGGGAATTATAACAAAAGCGATGGTCACACGCAACGTTTCGTTTCGCAGAAAAGCCGACAGATGCTCCGCGGACGATGTACATCTCCAAGGACCAGTGGGTGGAGGAAGGCAGCGAGGTGCGGCTCTACTGCGAGGCGCTCGTCGGTAAGTTATAATTTGGGAACATTACATCATGGCAGTGGAGATCCACAGTTACGGGTAATACTGATAACGCGAACAGCTGACCCAATTCCGTGTGCGTTCGCGGAATGAAAGTTTTGTCAACGAGACTTTCCTCTTAAATGTTACGTCGCGTGCGCTTGTGGCACAAACAGTTTGTATGCGCTCGCTGCAATACATTTTACTGTCTGATAAAATGATTTATACATGACTCATTCTCAATATATTTTTTTCTATGTATAACTTAATAGTCTTCTTTTGTTTCGCGATATAAATAATGGATCAATAATGTGTAATTTATATAGTTTGCATACAATATTATATCTTGAACATAGGTATATAAACTTTTAACATTAATATATAGTTAGAACAAAATAACTGAATCATCTTGATTGGTGAATTTATCACAACTTTTCATTCATATTATGTTGACTAATATAGTCGTTAGTATTTAAAGGAAAACGTGACCAATTGTTATACCTATTCTAATTAATTACCCTTTAACAAGAATTTTTAAATTTACGTAACTGCTCATCGTGAAGTTAGTCAACACAAAAAATATTTAAGAGGAAATATTTAAAAATTAAAACAATAATCTATTATTATTGTTTCAACGCTTAGGCCCTTCGTTCATAAGGCAATGTAAATCTTCCAAGCTCGGCGAGTTTGGTCGCAAAGCGACTTACATGATGTCTTGGAGGTACGGGTATACAGCGTCCGTCGCCGATATTTCTGTCATCGCCAAAGACAGTCGCTCGGAATCGCTTCAAGATAGCGGAACAAATCTATACAGTTGAGATGTACTTGCTATACCTGTACTGACCCAATAGACGACTCGATTCGACGATTCAACGTTGTGTGTACGGAGCGCGCGCAACGAGATTTTCGCGACGCAAACATAAGATATAAGTTTCGACGATTTACGTTGCCTTGTGTATGAAGGGCCTTAGCCGTGACAACTTTATCGACATAAATACTGCTACATAAAGAGATAAAGCAAAGCTTTGTTTGATGTTAATTGAAAATCCATAATCTCTACTAAGCTTCTTTAGTTATGAGTCTGAGTGCTTGTCTATTGCACGATTGATATATGGGTAACATTTTCACGTGTATACATATGTCCATTCTATGAGACTTGTAGCTCAAATGGCTTTTTTTTTTAATCTTAAGTTTTATTTAGACCTATATATTATTCTCTGTCAATATCATTATGTGTTAATGTCTCAGGTCGGTCGTATTTAGCGGACGCGCGCAGTGACTTGCGCTGGTGGAAAGTGTGGCCTAACGGCACAGAGGGTGACCTGCTACCCACGCAGCAACAGCACAAGACTGTTCGGTGAGTTATTTATTCTAACAATATTTCATAAATTAATGTTGTCATCTTATATTGGATAAATAACCTCCCAGAATAATGAATGGCCTTGACAAGTTACAGATTCTTTATAACGCCTTTATTAACTAAACTGCAGACATTGGAATGCTATTTTTGAACTATAAATAAAGATAGTGTTTGTGTGATTGCAGTGACGATGTGGAGGACATAATCGGCGCGTACCTGGTGGTGGAGCGCGTGTCGGCGCAGGACTACGGCACCTACGTGTGTCTCGTACAGGCCAACGACTTCGTCTCGCGCAGCTACGTCACGTTGCACTATAAATGTACGGACACAATTATAACAATTTACCTCTTGATACTCCGAGATATCAGCTGCTGCAAGGGTTCTTATCGAAGACCTTTCGCCTCAATTCTTGTGAGACGAATAAGCAAAGTGTGTGCGGTAGCCCTATCCGAACCGGGGATTCCATATACGACGGCCTTGGCAACACTGAACAATGCAAGCAATTTGTGAACTCTTTCTTTTGAATTCAATCTCTTTGATTGGGTAGTTATCATTTTTAAAAGAAGTTTAAGTAATAGAATATTTTGCAGTGTGGTCTGGGGGCGAGTCGGCATGGTGCCGGGGAGGTGGCGCGGTGCCATGGCGTGCGCTGGCGCTGGGCGGGGCTGCGGGCGCGCTGCTGCTGCTCTCCGTCGTCGCGCTGCACCGCCGCTGCACGCCGCGCCTGCTGCTCGCCGCACGACATGCACGAGCACGCGCCGCCACCGCCGCACACCGGGCTAGAGGTAAGTACATACACTTACGTATGCAGATACATGCACATTTACGCGTACTTAAACAATTGATAATGTATATGTTGCAGTACTGGAAAAGGAGTTCGATGTTTTGGTGTGCTGGACGGCGGTGGATGGCGAGCTGGTGCGCGGCGCTCTGCTGCCGACGCTCGCGCTCAAGTACAAGTATCGCGTGCACGCGCTGCCACTCGCCACCCAGCCTGACAACTGTGAGTGTCCACGCTCACGTTTGCGCCAAGCGTCCTCCAGACAACACATAGTCTAATGTGGCGTTTATGTGCAGGGTACAGTGAGATAGTGGGCGAGGCGGCGCGCTGCCGGTCACTAGTGGCGGTGTTGTCGCCGGCGCAGTATTCGCCGCAGCAGCTGCTGACTGCGCTGCGACAGCTGCGCGCGCTCCCGCTGCCGCCCGTCGTCGTACTGCTGCAGGTCTGCTAGCTGTGTACTAGTAGCTCCACTTATGTTTTATGGTCGAATGTAACACTATATTTAATGCTATGTATGTCCCAGGATCTGCCGAAGCTGAAGCGCGAGGCGAAGGAGGGTGGGGAGTGGCTGGTGGGGGCGCTGCGACGCACGCGGCTGGTTGCGTGGCGTCACGTGCACGAGCGCGCGTTCTGGACCGCGCTGCGCCTCGCCCTGCCCCTGCCCCCGCCACCACCACCACAACCCTCGCAGACCACCGCACACCAACAACCTAACACGGTAGGTGTCCTTTAATAATAAACAATAAAATCACGACTTACAAAAACTGTCACACCTAAATTCTGTTTATGAAATACTAGCTTTTGCCCGCGACTCCGTTCGCCCAAAAAAAATTGGTAGGTGGTAATGAGTTGCATATACGTAGTAAAAGATATTCCATCCAAACATACGCATTTATAATGCTAGTAAGAAGTAAATTAATAATAATTTAAATATTACAGGAAAAATCAAACACAGAGACAGAAGAGAGTAAGAACTCCCGCTCGGGGAGTCTGACAGCGCTGGTGTGAACGACGACAACCAGATTGTGAATAAAGTTAACTGAACTGAACTAGTGGTTAGAGCAGTGGCTAAGCCATGGCCCGAGTGCGAGCAACTAATAACATGTGAGGTGAACTCTATATACGACTATGACGTCATGTGTGAAGTACGTAGTGTGTGCGGGCGCAGTGCTCTGTGTCTCCAGTACTAAGACTGTGAATAGATATTACTTTTGTATAACATTAAATGAACATTGTATCACATCCGATGAAAACGTTTAGAATTAGTGTCATTTCGAATTCTGTATACAGTTTTCTTCGATCTCAACATTTCTTTCGGCGATAAATTCATTCACATCCTCTTTCTGGTGCCAAAGGGAATACGTCATGACAATTAATCACTTAAGTTAAAAATATGTTTCGGTTGTCTGTCCTATTTATTTTATTTATCTGTAAACTTTTCGATAGCTGACTTTAGAAATTAATTTATTTCACGCTAACGCGCAAAGTTTGTTGTAAGTTGACTTAATTTTAGTTAAGATTATTTGAAATGTCTGTCCAATGACTGTATTTTATATCGACCAGGGTGTTAAGAACCTCTATTTAATGTAAGTTTCTTCCTTTATTTGTAATTGTGAGATGTGCGCTGACTGAGTGGTAATGTAACGAGCGATGGTTTCAGGACTGTGATAATGAGATGGTAAAATGTAAGTCGCCAGTTTATGTATAGTGAGATACGTCAAAATGAAAAGTTATCTTTGAATTTGAAAGTTTTCAAATTGTATCGCTTAGTTGTGTTGTAACATCAGAACCCAATAATCGATTTTCAAACAATTTTTCGACATCTGAGTTATTTTAATCGATTTAAACTTTAATCTCTGTAAAGATCACGATAGCTATCCAAAAAACCTGATTTATCGTTTAACACGTTAGCTGCCAGAATGATTTTTCGGAAAAAGATTTTTTTTTAATTTTGTCCAAAACCATTTAAATGGACCCTTGCGGGTCACGCTGTATACAACAATTCGATTAAAAGTCACCGCTAGGTGTTGAATGGAAGTATGGCTTGTCGGACACATAGTCCGACACGGCCTGATTGAAATTTTACCTTGTCGGATATATAGTCCGACATAGCAGCTAACGTGTTAAACGATTTTCTTTTCTCCTCTATCAATCGAGAATAAAATCGATTCGAAAATTTTAATTAATCTGTTATAGGGTTTGTTTATTGGGTTCGTCTGTAAATGTGTAAAGAATTTCGATGGGCCTTAACTTTTACATTGTAATGTGTAAATGGAACTTATTCTTCTACGTATTTGATACTGAAACATAATAATAAGAATGTAAATAAACTTGTATACGCAACGAAGTGCTCACTTTGTTGTAAATGATAAACGAATGGTTAATGTTTTTAATATAATTTTTCTAGCATTATAATGTACTCGTCACATTCCGAAGAAAGTTTTCTATAAAATTAGGTCGCTAAGTTTTATTGTGAATGATCTAGAAGAAAAGAAAATAAACGAATTCAATTTATTTTATTGTTTTATTTCCTTTTAAATGTCCATTGATTTTATCCCATCATTTTTATATTTCATTCAATATTTTTAATCGTTTTTTTTTTCTTTTTCGCTTGGCACAGGACAGGAAAGGGTTCGCTGAGCTGACGGCCAACCTCCAGTAACGGAGAGGCATTAGAAGAAATCGTTTTTTTTTCTTTCATGAATCAAATAAAACTAGATAAATTGTAAATATAAAAATGTATTTATGTTGCAATAATCAACAAATAACATATTCTTAGTTAGCACAATATGTAATAATACAAATGTCTCACTAAATTCACATCACACAAAATAATTATACACATTAAAGAGAAAAAAAAATAATTCGATAAATTTCGATAAACGAAATATCCTAAGTACATACAATTAAATAATTAATTTTATATTAAATCATCGTTGTTAACATATTCCAAAATAAGTACACATGTTAAAATAATTTTTAATTAAAAATCATTGGTTTCAAAAATTCTAAAAATCACTGAAAATTGCATACCTTATATTAATACCTCTTATTAAGTACGCAAAAAGCTTTAGCACCGCGGAACTAACACAAGACACAATACAACAGATATTGGACCAGATTCGATCTCGTAATGACATTTATAAATTCAAATTAAATACATATTCGAGATTATTCTTCAAAGTATTCGAAATTTACGCATATTTCGTAGTTACAACAATCATATCTATAAGTTTAACTACAATCTATTCTTACAAATAAACCATGCGTATAAAGTAACTAAAACCGAATTGTAAATTTAAATTATTTGTTGTAAAATAAATTATTTGTTAAAAATAGTTAAAATGGCAGCCGCAGTGATGCAGTCATTACAATGATTTTGTGATTTAAAGCGCATTGAATATAAAAGGGCGATGGCTTTTGAATTTCTATTAAATAAATAATTAATCTAGTTTATTGTAGTTTGTGAAGGCACGTCTTTAGAATTTTTATATCATTTGAGATTTTGCTATCACAGTATTATAGAAAATTTCGTATGAAATGCAACAAAAATATATTTCATTTGCGTTAATGAGATTTTTTTTTTTTTTATTTTGTGCTGTTCAAATGAAACACATCGTTGTTGCATGAAAACTTAGTCAGATCTTTGATTTAGTTTTTAGAAAAAATAATACAGAAAAATTAAGAATCTCATTCTACGGTCGGTAAAAAAAGGTCATAGTTAAATGATTAAGTCGAAGTGACGCCCTGCGCCTTCATTATCCTAATGGTAATGTACAATATTTATAACATTTGTAGATCTCAGGTCAGTTCGTGTGTGTGTGTATGTTTGTATGTGTGTGTGCGAACTGTCACACTGTAGGAACAAATACGCCTCACAATCTTCACATTCATCTATTCAACAGCAGCTCCCGACTGCGGATATTTGCTCTCATACGCCTGTCGAAAAAAAAAATCAAATGATAAATAATAATCGTACAAGCTTGATGGGGGCCCAATGGTACAATTATTCCCATTGGACCGTTTGATCTTATGGATTCGATAGGTCCAATGGGAAAACTCCAATTCCACTTAAAACCTTTGTTGCTGATATCAGAACTGGCCATCTATGATGCCGCAGCTTTTCACTTTCATTACTTATTTAATTTTAAAATATCTAAATCTATAGTTATCCTGAGTTTCCGAGAAACAGGATTACTGAAACTTATCATTACAACATCCTTATAACTCGTGTGTTGTTGTTTCGTTGGTGTAAACGTACCTGTTGCGCGACCCGTGCGAGCGTCTCTGACATGGCGCGGCCTGTCTGGTCGACCATTCCGCGCAGCACACCCTCGCTCTTCTGCAGCAAGATGTGTGGGTGGTCGAACTCCACCAGCTGACCGGCGTCCATCACCAACACCTGGGGGAAATTGCATATTAAATAAAAAAAATATAGATTCATAAGTAAAAGCTTGGCTCGCGAGTTCAAACGGTTCTATAAAAATTTAAAGGTCTACGGTTATAAATTCATTATGTACAATATAGTCGTAGAATGCGTTACCGTAGAATAATAAACCAGGAAGTTTTTTTATTGATGTCATAGGTAAAAGAAGTCCACTGTATGACACAGGATTGCCAGATAGAAACCTCAACCTTCAACTTCCACAAAATCAGTAAAAAACTCACTTTGTCAGAGTCCATGACAGTGTGCAGCCTGTGCGCGATGGTGAGCACCGTGCACTCCGCGAACTTGTTGCGGATCGTCGTCTGGATTAGAGTATCCGTCCTGAAAAACGAAATCAACAGATTTTATTTTTATACTATCAAAGAAGTAAAAGTAACTAACACACGATGTACATATATGCGTAGATATATAAATTATAGAAGCGACATAGGTGCGTCAGGACCACACAAAATGAAGGTCCGTGTTTTCTGCCTACCCCTGTGGATTACAGGCGTGAGGAAAAAGCGTAATAAATACGTAAACTTGTGTATAAGTTGACTTTATGTATAAGATATGTGTACTGACTGTGGGTCGACGTTGGCGGTAGCCTCGTCCAGCACGAGCAGGCGACTGCGACGTACGATGGCGCGCGCCAGACACACCAGCTGCCGCTGACCCACGCTGAAGTTGGTGCCGCCCTCGGACATGCGTGAGTTCAGCCCCGCCGGCAACTCCTGCACCGCCTCCTTCAGCTCCACCTGACACATACATACCACACATTATTACACGACAAATTTAATAAAAATTGAGATTCGAATATTAATTAAAAAACATTCAACACAAAAGGTCTTTTAAGTATAAAACCGATGATATTATTTGTTATCCAATCGTTCCATTTACTAGAGCAGGTCGCCATTAATAAGAGTAACAAGAGCTATGTTACAATAATCAGCTGATTAATAAAAATAAAATTAACAATGTTCAAGTACCTCTTCTAGTGCGCGCCAGAGCACCTGGTCGGGGTACTCGTCGAAGGGGTCGAGGTTGTGGCGCATGGTGCCGGAGAACAGCACCGGCTCCTGCGGGATGATACTGATCTGGCTGCGCAGCTCGTGCAGCCCCAGCGTCGACGTCTCCCGCCCGTCGATTATTATCTCGCCTTCAATCTTAGCCAACCTGTACAAAATACATTAGAATATACTAAAAAATATTTTTTTTATTATTATTATTCTCTTTACGTTTATAAATATAGTAGCTTACGCCTGCTCCTGCGTCCAAGCAGAATTAAAAAACTTAATTAGTAGCCTATGTTTTCTTTCAGGCCACGTTCTACATGTTGGTTAAATTTCAGCGACATCCACGCAGCCGTTTTGGAGATATCTTCTAACAATTATCCCTCCATTTAAACTTACGCATTTATAACATTCATAAGATATTTTTTTATTGATTTTTCAACGTGCACTAGGTGCGTACCTGAAGAGTGCATTGATGAGGGAGGACTTGCCGGCGCCGGTGCGGCCAACGATGCCGACCTTTTCTCGGGGGAGCACCAGGAAGCTAAGGTCACGGAGCACGGCTGGCTCCCCGGGCGCGTAATGCAGCGATACGCGCCGGAACTCCAGCCGGCCTGCCTCCGGCCATGATGCCGGCGGCTTGCGATCCGGCGGTGATTCCAGCGGCGGCTCCGACTCGATCTTGGAATACTCCATTATACGCTCCACGCTCGTCATCTGGTTCTCCAGCTCGGTGGACTGACGCATGCCCCACTGGAACATGCCCGTCAGACCCATCGCTTGCGTTATCGCCAGACCCACGTTGCCGCCGTGCTCCTCTGAGGGCGTCAAATAAAGATTACTCAATTAACTAACCTTAAAATTACAGTAACATTTCTTTATCCAAAGCCTAAAGTAATGTTTAGTTTATATAGTTCACTAAATTATATTTGTAAAGTAGCCTTACGTTGATCAAAGACGAGGAAGCTAAGGGTTACGATTGCAATGTAGACGACGCACACCAGGTCCAACCAGAAGCCGAACGCACGCGAGCTGGCGATAAACAGGTACCTGAAACATATTAAACACATTTTATAATACCAAATACATATTATTCTTAGAAGCCATTATGAATGACAGCTATAACATATACGAACAGCTTTATTTTACAGAAGTCCATATGTCCACGAGACAGAAGACAGTATCAACCTTTTTTTACAACCAGCAATATTTAGTAAGTAATAATTTCACTCACCAAGCTGAGCTATGCAAATCCTGGTGGTTGTCGAACTCCCGGATGAGAGCCTCCTGGGCTCCAAACGCTCGTATCGTGGTGATGCCTTGCAGTGATGCGTTCAGATGCGAGAACACAGGGCTCCGAGCTAAATAAGTAAAGTTAAAAAATTAAAAGACATCGTAAGAATGGTAGTAGCAAGAAAAGTTTCAAAAAAATGTCAAATGTCATTGACAACCATAGATATCAAAACTGTGTCAACCATGGACAAGAGTATGTGTATGGTCACAGAGTTGGTATACATAAAGTGTCGTAATAATGTAACGCATTAGCGAGGAGCGATGATGACTTACTCACACCCTCGAGGCGCTTGATGCTGCGCGAGGAGGAGAGGTAGACGATGCGCAGACCGTAGAAGATAACACCGATGGCCAAAGTCGGCAAAAGCAGCCACCAGTTCACCGTCGCCACCACAACCACGATACCGATCAGCGACAGACCGATCTGAAATCATCAGAATATTTAGGTAAAACCGGTATCAGCACCGTTTGGAATATTTTTTTAAGTAGCTTTTGCCCGCCTTTTCTCTTTCCCTCCGCGCAAAATAAAAAAAAATAGTACGTAGCCTATGTGTTCTTCCAGACTATGTACTATATCTATGCAAAATTTCAAAGAGATCCGTTGGGCAGTTTTGGAGATACCTTCTAGCAAACGTCCATCCATCGTAGTATTCGAATTTATAATATTAGTAAGCGTTTTAGATCACGATAAATAATCGTAGTTTGTAAAGAACAAACATAGAAATAAATTTTTAAATATAGTAATTTAAACCTACTGTCTTCCTCACAATGAATATTAAAATCATTTGGTTACCTGCAGAACATCCAGTAGTGCAGATGGCAGGATTTCATCAACAGCGCCCATATCCTTTGAGAAGCGGTTAAGCACGCGGCCAGATGGGTTGGAGTGGAAGAAGCGCATCGGCGCACGAGTGATGGCCGCGAACATGTTATTGTGCAGTCGAGTTGACGCACTCATCGCCATAGAGAAGAACATGAACGACCGCAGCAGCGACACAGCAACCAGAGACAACACCATAGCTACACAGATAATAAATATATTTTGTTTTTTTATGATAAGGCAAAGGCAACTAACGGATAGGTTAATTAACACGTTTAATGCTACGATTTTTTAATACTAACGTGGCACTGAGCGTGTTGTTTGATAACCCATGATATTTGGTTTAACATAAATGATTTATTAGTGTTATCTTAAATTTAGACTTAATAAAAATAAAATACTTACCGGTGTATATATAAATGCAGTCGTATCTATCTAGTGCAGAGTTGGGGAACTGTGCGTTGTCCACCAGTGGGCTGGTGTCGTTGCTGGTCAGCTGCAGCGTGGGACCTGTCACGTTCTCCGACAGAGTGTTGAGCAGCGCCGGCGGCAATCCCTCCTCTAACGTCACCCTGAACATAACGTATACTTCAAACTATCTTGTTCCGATCAAGGTCAAAATAAACAGAGTTACGTCAAACATGGCCGCCATTGGAATACTTCGTACGTGGCAGCAATTACGATATTTTACTTTATCAGATTATTTGTAAAAATCTTTAATGTGATATTGTATAAAAAGGTCATATAGTTAAATGAGATTTTTCTTACAAGAAATATAATGAATGTTACTTTTAGAAAGACAATAAAATGAATATATCGCGTTTACCAGTAGCTGGTCCACCAGTCGGAGCTGGAGCCGAGCAGCTGTGCGAGCGTGGTGACGAGCAGCATGAGCGCGACCAGCAGCGGGTGTCCGGCGGCGCGCAGGTAGGCGGCGTACACCGCGCCCGCCACCGCGCCCGCAGACCGCAGCTCCGCCGCCTCGCGCCCGCCCTCCGGCATGCCCGCCGCCGTCAGGTTGTCCACTGAGCTCACCTGCAGCACGAACACTTCTCTCAACAACATATCACAACTAACGCATTTGTATTGCCTAAGTCGATTGGAAAAAAAAATCATCTGGTTTTAAAAATTTAGGTTGCCTTGTACACACAAGGGTTCTTATAACATCTAAATATATTTTTGTTATTTTTCTAATATTTCTTGTACCATTCCAAGTAAGCTCTAGGCTATAGGATATGGTTTAAGACGATGGTCAAATGTCGGAATTCGAACTCTCGACCATGAGATCGTAAATCCGTACCTTATACCATTAGGCTATTGGCTATTTTACATAGATTCTTTAAGTTTGGCAACAACAAGCATTTGCAGTGAATAAAAGCCGTATGACATCATTGTTTACATAACTTTCTTTGATGTTTGAAGTAAAATATAAACAAGTATATAAAAATTATAAAAGAAATTTAACAAGTACTTACAGAATGTATACTCATTTGTCGTTTCCGGAAGCTGCCCTGTAGCAGGGAGTCCTCGAGGTCTGCGCTGGCGGGCTCCGGCGCAGGCTTGGGCTTCTCCTCCTCCGCCTCGCCGCGCGCCAGCAGCGTCGCGAAGTCCAGCCCTGACGCGCTCAGAGTCTCGAAGTCTCCCGCCGCAGCTATTGATCCGTTCTTCAATATTATTATCTGTGTATTCATAAAAATCATTACAATTTGTAATAAAAAATAACAAGTGATTCGGTATCCATGAGTCATCAACATCAGCTCACTATAAGTCCCCACTAGGCTCGGAGCCTACCCTAAGTTAGGGGAGTCTAGGCTATAGTCAACCACGCTGACCCAGTGAGGGATGACTTCACACATATCTTAGAATTTCTTCGCAAATATGTGTAGAATATCTAAAAGATAAATGTCTAAAAGTGACTGCTGAATACTGTTCTATGTTCTGTCAGTTTAAATCCACGGTAAAAAAATCAAGCCGATAAGTTACAATTCAAGTAAAAACTATAATTATACTAGTTCATTCATTTAAACTGTCATGCATTTAAATAATACGTTTCCAACATTATTGCGAGACTAAAGTTTCATGTAATGGAATTGCGAACTAAATCGTGCAACTAATAATGTATTCGCTCATTTTATTATGTAAATCAGCGAAATGGTATAAAAACTTCCATGATCGTTTTTCTATTCACTAAATCCATGCATCGTTACCAACCTTACAAACATCTTGCCCTTTCTGTTAAAAGGTCAAAGAAAAAAGATTTAAATAAAAGGCATATTTTTTTTTAAATAAAGTGATTTTACTGACGAAATATTAGGCCTACCTTTAAACCAAGATGACCTTGAACATCATAGTTTGCGTATTTAAAATTGTATGTTTTTTGCTTTATAATAAACTTTACTAAAAATGTTGACTAGGATTTTTGTCACAATAAATTTAAATCAAGAATTATATGGAATTTCCATTACCGAAACATCTGTTAAAACATTTGCCATCGCTGTATTTTCATACAGGATGAGTGAGATGCCAAGTATGGGAACTGTCAGCATGAGTATACCTGATCGACATCCCTGAGGAACTGCAGCTGGTGTGTGACGAGGATGCGCGTGGTGTTGCGCAAGTAGCCCACCACACAGGACTCGAACAGATGTCTGCCGACATGCGCGTCCACAGCAGACAGCGGGTCGTCCAGCAGGTAGATGTCCGCGCGCTTGTACACCGCACGAGCTAATGATATGCGCGCGCGCTGACCTGATACACGGATATCCTCATATAATACATAGCTTCAGAGCGAGACAGATGTATTGTATTCCCATACGTTTGTCTCGCTCTGAAGCGACAACCCAGCGTTGTTCGTACGATTCGCTCTATGTCTATATGAACCTCAGGACTATCCATCATAAGATTCTCACTACCGCAGTACTCTAAACGAGACAAACAATCAATGGGTGTATGTAAATTTTCTTTAAAATTACTTTATAAGTTAAAATTGAATAAACAATGTTCAATAAACCAACAACTTAATGACCAGTTACTCCTCCAGGTCTTTCAAACAGGTCGGTTTAAGAGTGTACAGCATGATATATAAGAATATAAAAAAAGAATGATAACTGACCTCCACTAAGACTGACGCCTCGTTCACCGACGACAGTCTTGTCGCCCTGCGGGAAGAGCGTGAAGTCCCTGTCGAGTGCACAGCGGCGCACCACCGCGTTGTAGCGCGGCCGGTCCATCGCCTGACCGAATAAAATGTTCTGACGGACGCTGCCTAACACAAACACGTCTCACATTATAACATAACTATAACTTACACTACAACAAAAATAAACACAATCTATTCTTAAAGTATAAAAAAAAAACAAAATTCATCTTTGTACAGACCTTTTAAGAGAAAAGCCCTTACAATTGCATGAAAAAAAAGATAAGAAACAAAGGCCCTTATTTAAAAGAGTAACAGTCTATATTTTTAGTCCTCTACTAAACGTACTTTCATCCTAATAAATAACGTATAATTCAAAGTACTAACCAGCAAATAGCCAGGGCTCCTGACTGGCGTAGGAGACGGTGCCGCCGATGTGCACGGAGCCCGACAGCAGCGGCAGCTCGCGCAGCAGCACGTGCAGCAAGGACGACTTGCCCGCGCCCACCGGACCTATCACTGCTATCAACCTGACACAGTACACGACAACATTATTTTATCAGTTACAGTATAGGTCTGTTCAAATATCTTGGCGGCTCTTAGATCCGCGCGAGTCGCTGCACTGCCCAGCGCTAATGAGCTTGGGCAAGATATTTGAAAAGACTAATACCCCAGGGATTAACTTGGCACGTTCGACAGAAAGAAACAATGAAGAATAGTTTAGCTCAATAATTTCTTACGTTGTTTTAGAAATAAGCTTACTGTCTAAAATTTAAGTAAACTTAGCTATGTGCATCAAAACGCGTTTGAGTTACAGAAAAAAGTTTTTTTTTAAATATATAGTAAGGTTACATGACAGCTCAAGTTGTATGAATAGAAGAGTAGACTCACTTGCCGGGCTTTATAGTGAGCGACATATCAGTAAGCGTGTTCTCGGCGTGCGAGGTAATCCACTTGGCGGTCGCGTGTTTGAGTCGCACGCCGCGCGCGTCCTCCTCCACGCGCATCGCCAACTCCTCGTCGTCTTCCTCACCAGATTCTAGTGGTGCTAGGGTTGCATTTCCTGGGAACCGAACGTTACACAGTTAAATAAATACAAAAAAATGCAATTTTTTTATCAAATCCGTGCTCGAAAAATGATCAACGTTTTAGGAAGGAAAAACATACAAACATATTTCTTTATATCTACACTAATATTATAAAGAGGAATGATTTCATTCAATAGACTCCGAAAGTACGGAACCGATTTGAAAAAATCCCTGTTAGGAAATTGAACTGCATTCGGGTGCTGTAGGCTATATTTTTTACATTTTTTTTAATTCTGCGCGGACGAAGTCGCGGGCAACAGCTAGTTGTAGATAGATATTAAATAAGTGGTTAGCTTACCATTACCCCTAGCTTCATCTCTCTTCTTTTCTGCTTCTGTTGTTTCCAACTTCTCAGGCTGTACCTTCTCTTCAGTGACTAGAGGTTCATCTTTGGTTGAGGGGACAGACTCTCTTATTACTTCTTTTTCTTCCTTGCCTTTCTTCTTGGTGGCAGTCTGTATCTCCGAGAGACCGGGCACTGGTTTACTCGTATCTTCATATAGCATAAAGTTTTGTAGCCGTTTGATTGATATCGTAGCTTCTGCTACTTGAGCAATACCTAAAACCATTTATATAATCGTTATTTATCTAAGTAAATAACTGATATTTACATTTCTAAGAAAATTACAATATTTACATTAAAAACTAACATTATAAATGCAAATGTTTAGATAGATGGATGTTAAACGGTATCTCTGGAAGGGCTCTTGGTAAAATTTGGCACAGATATAGAACATAGTATGGAAGAACTCATGGGCTACTTATTAATTTTTTTTAATTTCACAGGGACGGAGTCACGTACTTTAGATAGTTAAAAATAATGAAGACAAGTAAAAAAAAATTAACATTTTAATAATTATTGTATTACATGGACAAATCAACTAAAACACTAATAAAGATTTTTTTAGAAGCATTAAATTTATTTTTATCCTGTTCTATAATTTGGTAAGCCATTAAACACAAAATGGTAAAATTTGCGCTCAGCTGTGTAAACTAACACCACATCCTTAACGAGCGCCGCGGTAACATTGACTTTTTATATTTTACGTTGAAGAATAAAACATTTGAATAAACATGCGATATATTTGACCTAATTCAATCTTAAAAAACCTTGAAATAAATTACTCAGACTAATCTCCCAAGATGCTTATCGGTCAATATAAAACCTACTTTTTTCTTACAAAAAAATTGGAACAACCGCATTTACTGGCAAAATAGAATAAAAAATTAAGAAAATTTAAAAACATATTTGGTTTTCTTAGCAAATCTTACTAATATTGTAAATGCGAATGTTTGGATGGACCGTATGTTTGTTAGAAGGTATCTCCAGAACTGCGTGGATCTCGCTGAAATTTGACATCGATCTAAAACATAGCCTGGAAAAACATATGGGCTACGTATTTTTTTTTAATTTCGTGCGGGCGAAGTCGCGGGCAGCAGCTAGTACTTAAATAAACCTGGAAGAGATCGCTTCTAGCGATAAGGCCGCCCTTGCTTCATAAATTAGTTAATTGTCATGTTTTTTTTATCTATTACATTAGCATTAAGAGTTAATAAAGAAATAAAATAAACATAAAAAATGCAGTTTGGATATCACTTACCTTGTGGGAAGAACACGGTCATAGTTTGGCGTAGAATATTATAAAAGCTGGTGACAACAAATACTTGTTTTGCAGTAATAATATTGTTCTGCCCAAGAACGTACGCTAATATTGAGATGAACAGACAGATCCGCGTCATGAACATTACAAAGGACGTTAATACACCACGAATATACGATGTCGCGCGGATCTGTTTGATTTCCTGTCTAAAATAAAATCACTTTATTAATTCCAAAGGAATATTTATTTGTAAGTTCTACAGATTACATACATTTTGACATAAATAAGTACTGGAGCTAATATTCCACCCCGTATTAACATAGTAGAGCCAAAAACATATACATATTTTCACCCCGAAATAATTGTAATTTCACGTATCAGTGATCAACAGATTATAACCACCCTCTTATAAGGGTTTGTCAGTTAAACTGTTCGACTTTATAATATACCTACGTAATATACATAGAAAATGTATTTGTTACTATATGTATAAAAAAAAAACTAAATAGCCCTGATTGTAAGGTTGTCTATGGTAGTATACTTACTTTCTAGCCTTAGCGACAAGATCTGCGAAAGGTTTTTCCCATGTGTACATCTTAATGACTTGTATTCCAGACAATATCTCGTTCATTAGACGGACGCGTTCATCTGTCCGTAAAGCTGTTTTCAAACGCAACTCAGATGTCCGTTTGCCAAAGTAAGCTGCAAGAAAAGTATATCATTTAAAAAAAAACTACGTTACAATATCAATACATGAAATTGGAGCAATTTATATTCGTTACTATAGCTTTGAAACCAGAATAACATTCCATACATTTTTCAATAGATGTTCGTAATAGGGAGTTTTTTCATAAAGAAATATTCGTAAAGAGATACATTTCTTTGGGCAAATTGCAACATTACTACCTGAACTTTTACCTGCATTCAATTGCTCAATATACACAAGCATTGTATGAAAATACCAAAGAATGTGGTTCAAATATTTGCTATAATCTGGGCCAAGACGTTTATGTAATAATTTTATACCTGGCCACATAGAATTGGCAGATGTGCTATTATGAGGGTCTTTTAAGAAAAAAAAACTTGTGCAGGCATCTTGAAATGTACAAGCAATTATCTACATTATTGCCAGTAAATAAAGTGCATGGGCTACTAAAGTATGTTTTTTTTATTACCAAGTGCAGTTGTCGTGTAAGGTTAACAAGAAGTCAACTTCATGACTTAAATGGTATCATTTCTACGTTTATAACCTTATATCGAGATATAGTCGGTAACAAATTTAAATTAAATATAGAAGATAAATACAAACTGAAATTAATATCAGGTCGAATATGTTATGTTGCAATCCTTGCTTTTAGCAACTAATCCGGTTTGTTGTTTTAGCAAAAGCCTTGCATTTGAAAGTTATTTACTATATGTTTTGAATGTGCAAAACTAATATTAAACAAAATATGTTATCTAAGAATTTATATAAAGTAAACATTTACATATTAAAAGATTGCAGTATTTTTAGTTTGATATATTTTAACCGACTTTAAAAAGAAGGAGGTTCACAATTTCTCTATATGTCTTTTTGTTGGGAAGATAAACATTAAAAAAATCTCGTCAAAAAAATTAAAGTCAAGAACAAAAAAGGCTGCATTTAAAAAAAATTATATTAAAAGACGTGAGTAAAAATTGTTTTTTTTTGGAATGTGTTTTCTCACGACAGAATCGAATAAAGGATTCAAAGCATCAAATAGCTATCACATACGACGTAGCGACGTCAGGCGTCGATATTATTGTTTTAAGCAAATAAAAAAGTTAATTGCTCCAAAAGATAATAAGGCATATTTTCATATGTGTAACATTCGTATGGCCCGCTTTACTTACCACTGTTTAATTAAGCAGATAATTCCTATTTATTATCTTAAAATATTACAGTGTGATTCGTAAAAATTCAAGAATGTTTAACAGTGATAATCAGCTTATATTTATTGGTGTCTTAATAGTATAAGAAAATTACCTTGTAAAGGAATAAAGGCGAGCATAAAGCCGACACCGACGACAGCAGCCCAGCTGATTTCAAGCCACATGAAGTAAGCGATGATAACAGTCGCTAGAGGCCCGATCCATAGGTAGTGTAGGAATATGATAGCCACATCGAATCTGTTCACATCGTTCGATAGCAAATTCACCACCTGTCCGACCGTTGTTTCTCCTAACGCTGTTTTAGATAGCCTTAAGGACTGGAAAAACAATAATCCTTTATTATTAAGATTTATTAATTCCGTGCAGAAAAAGTCGCGGGTAAAATCTAGTTTAACAATAAATTAGTGTCTGAATTTATTTATAAACTTGAAGCATATAAAATCTATAAAATCATTAAAATCGCCGTAAAAATTTAATAAAAATCCGTAAATTTTATGCAATACTTTAATAAAAAAGATATCGTGAAGTGCTACATTAACTAATTAAAACATCGATGGCTTTTATTAGGGCCAGTTATCTACGTAAAAAAGTATGCAACAGTTGCGATATAAAATTCTTGTTTATTATAATATTTGAGTATTGTAACTTATTACTAGCATATACCAGCTGACATCCGCGATTCCGTAAGCGCGGAATTAAAAAAAATAGTATGTGTTCTTACAGACCATGATCTACATGTGTGCCTAAATTTAAGCGAGATCCGTTCAGAAGTTTCGGAGATACCTTCAAACAAACAAGCATCCGACCATCCGTACGTTTACATTTATAGTATTAGTAAGAAGTAAGATTTACTTGTCCAGTTATGAACCTAAGCGTGGTTTTCAATCTCCACCAAGGTAAAGAAACACCAAAGAAAATATGGGCAGATTTTAAAAGATACGTAATAAGAGAGTAAATTCAGATATGCCGGCTGATAGATATGTATGGAAGAGTAATTGTGCAGATTGATGATGATGGATGAATTTTGTATGATAACAAAGCTTGTTACTATAAAACACAACCAGAAAAAAGTCATGAACTATACAGTCTTGAATAAAATGTATTATTTGCCTAAATAACTTTTGCTTTATAACGATATTGGTAATGAAAATACGCAAATCTTGTACCTTCATGTTTTTAAAATTAAATAGTTTGATATTGACTTTATTCCGACTATACTTTAAAATATAATTCCGTACAACCGTATTCGTGATACCTTGACAAACAATATTGATCGACTTTTTATACTGCAAAACGTCTATCTTACTAATTATACTTCTTACTAATTTTGCGAATGTTAGGATAGATGGATGGATAAATGAATGGATGTTTGAAGGTAGCTCTAGAACAGTTCAATATATCACGAATTTGCCACACATATAGAACATAGTCTGGAAGAACACATCGGCTACATAACGTTTTTTTTAGTACCGCGCGAACGGAGTCGTCGGCGACAGCTAGTAATCTATACTTTTCCACCTACTGGTGATCAGTTTACTATAGTATATACCATTGGATCAGTAAAATTATACATGTATAATAAAGAAATTCTTGAGTTATTTATATCCAATAGAATAACAAAGATAAGTGAAATAACAAGACTAAATTAACATTTAGGTGGAAATTTTGATTGATGATTTCGAAGATACATTTACGCATATCACGCCATCAAAACAAACACATGCGCACCTTTAATTAAATTTAAATTCGTTTATCAAATTAGATTATTATTTACGGCTTGAGTCGACCTTGAAAAGGGGATCATATTCTACAAAGTCGAAAACTTTACTGTTATACATTTACTATATTTTTTTTACAACACAATGGGGCAAACGAGCAGCGGGAACACCGAGGTGTTCAACGACGCCCGTGGACACTATCAATACCAGAGGAACCGCAGATGCGTTGCCGGCCTATAAGATTGTAATACGCTCGCTTCTCGCTTATTTTTATATTGAAATACGTAATAGTAACGTACTGACTTTGTTTCTATAACTCATATTACAAAACTCTTATAATTACTAGACTTATCGTATATTGAGATCCAAACAGATGGCCTGTCAATTACACTATGCTGTGCATTCGAACGTAAATCATTAATGTGAGTTTGTTTTTCTATAGTTATGCAACACGCAATGCTTATTGAGGTTATATAATAAATATGGAGCATATAACATGAGAATAATTACACTGTTGACGTCACAAATAATAATGACAGGCCGGAGATGTAGATAATACCTAAGTTTGCTATCAAAAATTAAAATTGCTTCAAAAAAGAACGTGGAATTACCGTTATTCAATTAATTTATTCTTACTTAATATTATAAATCCGAATGTTTAATTGGATGGATGGATGTTTGAAGATATCTCCAGAACGGCTGCATGGATCTCGCTGGAAGAGAACATAAGCTACTAATTAAGTCTTTTTTTAATTTTGCACGGATGAAGTCGCGGACGACAGCTTGTTTAAAATAAAAGAATTACATGACTCTCAATTTTATTTCTAGTTTAAATAAAAGTGAAGACGAGCGAAAAGAAAATGTAAATTATGTATCGAAGGTCGTATGAAATCGTTAACCTTGACGTATGTACAAAACGTAAGATTTATGCGTAACATTTAGCCGACTGTTGCTTAGCCGTTACTAAATGACTAAGTACAGTTAATCCTATGATCCTACGGCTGCACGTCGCTAAGCCATGTGCTGTGCGAAGTAAGCCAGATAATGAAGATTTTATACGCGTAAATAAAAGTAGCACAAAAATAAAATTGAAAAATATTTAATTTTCTCTTCATTCTATAGACAAATGTGATATCACAGAGTATATAACTTTCTCAAAGTCCCAAGTTAAAGTTCAGAATACAGTCGAACCTTGAAAGTCCGAAAAAAATGCAATATTTTTCTCGCTTATAGATGTTTATCTTGTCTTTCACGGTTTTGGAAGTCCGTCGGAAATGGACAATAATTCTAGCTTATCCAGGTTCGACTGTACAACAATTGTGACAACAAACGTCTGGGCATTTAACTGAATACGTTGCTTTCAATTAGGCTGCGAATACTTAACAATTAAACATTTAATAAACCCCGATCTATTAAACGCCTCAAATACGCCTGACCTGACCGGTAACATTTCAAAATATTAATTAAAAATATAGCATTTTAATATTTGTATATTATAATTTTCAAAGGAAGAACATTTTATTTAGTACGCTCATGAATATCAATCAATAACTATAAAACAGTTGCTATGGTAACGAACATCCACTACAATCAATTCCATAATATATAATAAACCAATGTTATAAAGAAGAAAAAATTATCGAGTATTTCTTATTTTAGACTTTTTCGCACATTACCATGAACTAGGTTCTTACGCCGTGGTTACCGAAGGTTAGTGGCCAGCCAATTACTGATAACGAGGTGTTTCAATTCATACCAAAGACGTAACGAACTGTGTGTTATATATAAATCATTTTACATAGCTGTCATAATTGTATATTTCAATTTACAAATAATTGGTGAAGTAACAATAACGAGAATTGTGAACTTGGACTTCGTTTTGCGAAACTTAATTGTAATTAGCACATAATTTTGACTGTTAAAATCGTGTCCAAGGATAGTTATTGATTTGATACTAGGTAACATTATCGTTTTTAGCCGACTTCAAAAAGAAGGAGGTTATCAATTCGCCTGTATATTTTTCTTAGTGTTTTGGTCAGACAATTTCTATTCGACATGTAAATAGCTGAACACTAAATAACATAGTAATTAATAAGTAAAATTGATAAATCGCGATTCTATATCTAAACCAGGTGGGTTAAACAAAATGCATTCGCTTTGAAGCGATTCCGTAACGAACTTCAAAAATGTATGGAACTGAGGCGCGACAATTACGTGACTTATCGAAAGTTATTGTCTGTTCATACATTTTTGAAGTTCGTTACGGAATCGCTTCGCAGCGAATGCATTTTGCCTAACCTCCCCCGAGCATCCTTTACGAGACTGTAAAGCAAACGACATACAAATATAAAACAGAATATGTTGTCCGTGTAATTCCGGTACCACAGTAAACAATGAAACAAAGCATCAACGCAGGATGTAATCCATTATTTAAGATAAACAGGTTATGTATGAAGAACTCTTGTTTCAGTTTCTTAGAAATTTTCAAGTTTCTCATTACTTAAGCGATAAGATTATTACCTTGCATATGAGATCTAAGGAACTAAGCACGTCCGGTGCAAAATATCAGTAACATTGCAACCTTTGTAATTTTACTAATATTATAAATGCGAAGAGAATTTAGATCGATGGATGTTTGTTTAGAGGAATGTCAAGAATGGCTGCATGGATATCGATGAAATTTGGCTTAACGGTAGAGCATAGTCTGGAAGAACATATAGCCTACTAATTAAATTATTTGTTAATTCTTCGCGAACGAAGTCGCGGGCAATAGCTAGTTAATAAAACAGTAATAGTGCATACAAAATATTGACCTTAAAATGATAAAAAATACACATTTTACTGACCTTTCTATAAATGAGGGAACAGCAAGCCACCCTGAACTTCATACCCATATGTAATATGGCCATCATGTAAGGATGCACCACGAAGACGTTGAGGGCCGAACACAATATGACGGCCCCAGCATATAAATACGCATCCACAGGCTTTATAGCTGTTTGTTCTCGACCGTAGAAATCTATCAGCTTGCCCAAAAACACAGGCTGAGCTATTCTGTTAATACAAAAAAATAAAAATATAATTTATTAACTAAAAGGGTGTACTAGGTGTAGCTACACTTTTTCCTAAATCTACAGCCACGGGCGTCGCTGCCAATGTTGAATGATGGTAGCTAGGTCTGGATGCGAGGGGCAGCAACCATTAATATAGTCTTTTACAGTATTTTACATTTTGTAGTTCTGTCGGGCGGTCAGCTGTCTTTAGTTTGACGTTTGAAAATAAGTTTACATGGACTTTATCAGAGTAGAATAAATTGGTAGGCGCGCAAACATTGCGTGTACCAAAATAAATTGTACCGACTTATCAAGAATCATGAACGCGTGCACAATTCGTAGTTACATAGGGTTGCTGACCCCATTATTAAGGTATCTTATCTATATAAAAATAGGGACTGAAAGTGGTTATAACAAATACACAATATAACAGTTGTATTTGCTGTTAAACGTTTAGGGCGACTAAATCAAAAGGTTCATAACCTTAAAATAAATAAAGTTTATTCATTCCATACTATAGCTGTTTGAAGTTAGGTTAAATTTAGTAGGCTTAAGGTTACTTAATCTTACAAAACTATAATATTTAACTTTACGATACTATTTTATTAAAAGAAAATTTTTGAATGTTGATAAAATTCCATTTTTTGTACGTGACAACCCTAAATCTACGCAATTAATTCGTAGCAGTAGTTAATAATGTTTTTAATCGGATCGACGATAGAGTCGCTTAAATATAACTGCTGCAAAAAGTCAGAAGATATCGGAATAGTTAGATGCCAAAACTTTACGTACGAATAGAAAATAGTAAAATGTAATTATGAACAGTTTTTCTGTTTCTACATAATACATAAACTTTACAACCAGTGTAAATATTTCACCTCTACAGAATTGCTAAATAACCACATCGTAAAACAGCGTAATTAAAAAAAGTTAACAGCCTAATACTACTGGACGACATAGAGTGGGTTCCTGAGACTTAAATTCCCTTTAAAACATATTGTTATCTCTGTTTTATCAAAGATAATGGACAGGAATGACGATATGTTCAGAGATTTTGGTCTTAGATTCCCATGACTAGTTATTTCATGACCAAAGAAGCCAAGAACTGACTCTACCAGCTTTTCCCCACTCTCCGTGAACAAGTCTCTTCAAATTTTAATCCCAACTACGATTATTGCTTACTCTAGATAACGTAATACAAAAGGAAACTAAACTACTTCTAACTACAGTAGATAGTAGCTGACTTCTTATCAGTTCCGTTGTCGAAGCCTTGACGAGTTATATGCGCCTGGTCACGCAGGATCATGACGCGTCTGCGCATAAATCGGCGCTCGATCTGACCGAAGTAGGCAACGAAAAGGCCCAACATACGTGGCTGTTGTATCCTAGAGAAGGCAGATGATAGGAGGTGAGGTTTAAAAGGAAAGTTGGTAAGGTTGTGGTATCATTGGTAACGTGGTGTCAACCTCAAATGTTACTGTGCTGCATTACACATAAATGGCATTTAAAACATCTTATATATAAAATTCTCGTGTCACAATTTTCGTTTCCATACTCCTCCGAAACGGCTTGAACGATTCTCATGAAATTTTGTGAGCATATTGAGTAGGTATGAGAATCAGCCAACATTTATTTTTCATCCCCCTAAATGTTAAGGGTAGTCCACCCCTAAATTTTTATTTTTATTTTTTAGACAAACACGCGGACGGAGTCGCGGGCGACAGCTAGTAATAGATAATTATGACATTTTTTAAGTAATGCTGAAAAAAATATAACAAAATACACTCTAATTATAAAATCAGTCTTAGATAGTTATAAAAAAAACTTCAGTATTAGTGATTATTTAAGGCAAAATGACGATTATTATCTTAGCAATGTTGTCAATAGATAACTAACCGTTGGTTTCCGAGGACAAAATCTCTGTATGAAACACATCATCCCTTTCATTACCTTTGATAAAATAGAGATAACAATATGTCTTATATTGTGTTTTCGGTCTCAGAAACCCACGGTAAGTATTTCATTAAAGCTTAATTAGTTAATTTTATTTGAAATAAGTTTTTAAACATTTCAACTTTCATTTTGTCTATGAATACAGATAATTGATTATAATTTATGTCGATGGAAAATTCCAAGATACAGATCTAATTATTAGTAGACGTCGGCATTATGGTTTCATAAATTTATTAAATTCCATATAAAAATCATAAAATTCTAATATAATTATTGTCGATGGGCAGTAAGTTGAAGTCTCAACAGGTTGGGGACTTGTTTCTTTATCTTTGGCAATTAAAATTATCATTATGTATTCATAATTTTTTGCAATAATTTTAAATAATTACCTATAGTGAGAATAAACAGCATCGTTTGCAAAAAAACTAAATTTCTTTATTTTTCTACACAAACTAGACGAAGACTAGAAGTGATATGTTTACCGTTATGTCGGATTGATAGAAATTATTGAAATAATTTGTTAGAATCAAGTTTTAAAGAAGACAAAGATATGTTTATTTGGTACATATTTAATAAATGACAACAAAATATAGATTACATTTAAAAAAAAACACCAAAATGCTGTCCACTTTGCTTCAAATGTTATCGAAGAAAACATTGATTTAGACACAAAAATTTGAAAGGAGTTTTTAACATATTTTACGAAAAAAGCTTTATTTAATCAAAATGTATTGCATAATACTTTATCCACGTTATTAATATAAAACTTTTGCCCGTGACTTTGGCGCGCAATAACTTACACATTCAATAAAGCAATAAAAAGTTTGATTGCTAAACTCATACCTAAAGAATTCGATCTAACCCTCTTACCTAATGAAAGTATCTATGTATCTGTTGGTAGATTATGTACGTCTATTTTTTTTTCATGAAGAATTATAATAATCTCGTTACCCTAACCTTAATACGTTTTAAACGACCATAAAGTTTTTAAGCTCATCCTAAGTAATATAATTATTTTTAAAGTCATAAATTCCTAGAGCTCAGTTTTCCTAAACCAATTATACACATTGTTCAAATACTAAAAAACTTATTGTTATGATCCTAAGCCGAAATAAAATAGACAGAGATAAGTCAAATTAAGTATAATACTGCCAATACGATATTACATTTTTTTTAATTAATTAGCGATATAATTATGGGATAAAATAAAAGGATTAAGTAAAATTAGCTAGATTACTTTGCAAAAAACATGGTTACAGTCTGGATAGTAACAAAGTGGAGTGCTAAGCTTTTTTTTTATCTAATCCGAGCATACCTAGGGATTTTAGTATCCAATGAAGTCATTGTGCGGATTAACTACGCTTTGAATTTCAATATTTCCGCAAACGCTTACGTTTGTTATACTGAAACCACATTAATGCTTTATGACACACGGTCAATATATCACAACATAATACAGATTTTTTGATACCATATGTTGCATATCAATGAAGATGACAAATTTCTTTCGTTACAAAGTCTAGTGTCAGAATGAATCCGAGAGGACAAAAACGTCGACCTTTTAGTAAGGCTAGTCTTGAGTCAATACACTGGCTCATTTCCGGATTTTATTCCTAACAGTATGTATGTATGTATTTTATGACAATATAATGTGTTGAATATCGAAAGGATTTATCAGTAGGGATAGGCCCAAAGCTATAATGAATGAAATAGTACCATCTATAACTTCTTTTGACTGCGTTTTAAACCACTAATAACTAATTTAGAATTTTACTTACTAAGTTCACTACGTGACATCCGGAGAAGGCGAATTAAATGACGCTTACAATTCAAAATCAGTTGAATATTTTAGCCTCTAGGCCTTCACAATGGAACTTATATACGTACAAACCCACTTACAAAATAAAATAACTTAACTTACATACGCTCGATAAACATTACCTACTTCTGGCAAGGGTAAAAAAATGACGATGTTAGATCAATATGAAAAACGAAAGTCATGTTTAAATATCACTTACTACTTATATTGTTAATTCTCGTAATAGTGTACCTATTTAATATTGTTTATTGATTTATAAAAAATGATTTTGCAACATTCTACCTAATGTCAATATTCTGAGAAATAGATTTAACCTGTAGTAGTAAACATGTTGTGTCATAAAATAATTTCCTCATACAAAATTAATTTATAATTACTCGGCATATTAGAGTATGTCATGTTCAAAATAATTTCTCGAAATAAATACTTATAAGTGGATAATCGGATAAAGAGCGTCGGTGACTCAGGACTCAAGCACTTGACTTACAATCTGCAGGTCCTAGGTTCGAATCCCGCCATGTACCAATGTGTTTTTCGATTTCCTATTTACATGTATTAATTTATCCGACGTTCTTACGGTGAAGGAAAACATCGTGATGCAACCTGCATATATCTGAGAGGAATTTCAAAGATATGTGTGAAGTCAACCAACCTGCACCTGCCAGCGTGGTTGACTATGGTCTAGTCACCCTTAACTTAGGGTAGACTCCGAGCCCCTCGGTGGGGACATATAGTGAGTTGATGATGGTGATGATGATGATGAAGTGGATAGTAAAAATATCTGTACTTTACTTTGGTATACCAAGAATTCCATAGAATCAAAATTAACGTATGAAACGGTAATAACTGCGTGCGCAAAGTGATCTAAACGGTAAGAAATTGACACATTTACATCAGAATAGGACAAAAATAGCTCAATACAAAATAATGTTCAATGACATTGACAATTAACATCAATATGTTGCCAGGAATCTCTCAAATGACGAACTGTTGTGACGTTCTTTTAAATAAGGTATAGAAAACTCTATACTGTAAAATGGAAATCCACATTATGTCTGTCTACATATTGAACGTGACCTTGAAGAATCTTAGGATGCTCTGCCGATAAATGAACTAATTTTTTTGGCACCATGATTTTTTAATTATTGAGTCTTTTGTTATTTAAAAGTAATATTTCTTATCATAATATAAATTTGTTATAAGTCGTGACAATATTGCGTCGGTGTTGTGAAATGTTTTTGGTCAAAAACCCTATTACCATATAATTACCGAATAACTTTAAACAAAGCACGATAATAATGTAAAAACATCAGCTTAGTGCATTCATCCGGTGACCGGAGACTCATTGGGGCAGTGGAATGTAAATAATACGTAACAATGTATCTACGTAATTTTATGAATTGTTTATTATAATTATTTACTTGATTATATTTATATCTGTTTTAAATTTATCCTCACTATATAACATTTTCATTAGCATTCGGTATACGAAAATACCATAATTAGTTAGAACGTTAGATTAATTTTAATAGAAAAGAGTTTCTAATGATTTTATTTAAGAAACTCCACACACTGCGTGCATTCACTTTTATTTGTGTTCTCGGCAGATAATTTTCGTTCGTCACCCGCAGAATAAAAGAAAACAAAATTAATAAAAAAAGATAAGAGACCCAGAGAAAAAGTCATATTGTATTGACATCTTTAAATATTTTAAAGTTTCCTGTACAGAAATTCTTATATACTACTTTGAGGCAGGCTATAAATTAAGTGCTAAAAGCTTTAAAATCATTATAATAATTTCACGCCACGTGCGCAGAATGTGCGTTTAATGATTTCTATTGTGATAAAGTACACTGTATAGTAAATAAACTATGTGATTTGAAGTGTTTAGTAAAGTCAGGAGTAATTTTCTATTTACCATGACATAGCGAGGACAGCAAACAATAGCACGTCGCACTTTGTCCCTATTGGGCCGCGGTACATGTTCTAGGATTGCACTGAATCATCCACGTGACGATTCATTCCATACTTAGCGTTTTCCTGTTCAGCTGTTATCTTACTAATATTATAAACGCGAATGTTTAGATGGATGGATGTTTGCTAGAACGGCAGCATGGATCTCGATGCAATATAGCATAGTTACAGAACATAGTCTGGAGGAACACAATTAAGTTTTTTATAATTCGGCGCGGACGACAGTTATAATCGAAACATTATTTTTTATAATTAACGAGTGATTTTTATGGTGATGGCTTTAAAAAGGCGGAGGTTTTAAAAGTGGTAGTGAAAATAGGTATTTGAGAATATTTCATTCAATTGTGAAATATGAATCACGGATGTTGAAGTGATGACAATTATTGTTCAGATATGATTTGCAGAATTATGCAATGTTACGCCATACGAAACTAATGGTTAGTTGCAATAAGTATAGAAATAACATCTGAATCCATATAATAAGAGACTACAGTGCGAGTGATGTGCACTACGATTAAGATAATAACTGTTATAAGAAATAGTCATGGAAGTTTTATACTTTAGAAATAAAAAAAATATGTACCCTCTAAATTGAACTTCCTATCACTCATTTATTGCCAGTTTCATGGGGGTGATGTTTTTTCGTGGATACCTGAATAAGCGAGAAACCTCTATTTGCTAGAAAAATATCTCGGTCCCATGGACTCTCGCTTATCCAAGTTCGACTGTAGATACTATTATATTATTATATACTATTTTTTTATAGGATAAGAGGGCAAATAAGCAACGGATACGTACCCTCTTGTCTGTGAGGTTGTTATCTGTCTCGTTACGTAGCGACTTGCCTATTTTTGATGAGTGATGTGTCATCAAATTCGTATCCCTACTCGAAGTTTTAAGGACAAAATCATTAAGACTTTTTGTTTTTCATTGCATTTACATCAATGTCATAGACACATCTGTCGTAAACATAAACCAAGTTAATATAAAAAAGTAACGATAAATTTACTTTATTAAGAGTATAATAATACGTATGATATTATTAAATTTTCACCTTCTTTATCTGATGAAGCGGTCGTTCACGTCAACAAAAGGGTGCACTAAAAACTTGTTGTGACGCATTCGGACGATTAATTTGCGATGTAAAAATACAAACTTTAGCGACAAATAAGAAAATAAAATTTATACAAGTTTATTATAAACAAACCTTTTTGAATTAACTATTTTTAAACATTAAAAAGATTCGTCGTCGTCCGCTCATATATATCTACGGAAGGGCTTGAAGCTTACCAACATTTGAGTTGTTTTCACACTTATATACTTAATATATTTGTCTCTCTTTCGCATTCACACATATAAAGCACAGATACGAGCTATTGTCCGCGATTTTGTCTGGGTTATCCAGTAAATGTGCTCAGCAAACGACCATATATAGCCTATTATGTTCTTCCCTACTGTGTTCTACATCTATAACAAATTTCATCGAGATGCAACTATTCTGGAGATACATCCTAACATCTATCCATTCAAAGATTCGTAATTATATTACTAAACTGTCTACATTTCAGTTATACTAGTTATATAATAGAAACGTTGATAACGTATACCGTCTTTATCTTAACGTGATATCGAGCGCATCCTCAAAACGTGACTTTTCGAGTGTTTAATGTGCATAGATTATTTATAATATTCGCGTCTTATCGTTTTTCTAAAAAGTATTTTATATGCGCTTCAAATGTAAAATCTATTTTATCATTTAATTCGCTGACAACGTATAAATAGAAGGCTCACATAGACGCTTTTATATGAGATGACATATTTTAACTTAAATAATTTCATTAGGTTTGTGTAAAAAGTAAATTCTTATAACTTGTGTGACTCAAAGAAAGTATATGCAGTCTCAAAAGAAAATATATTCTCAAAAGATGACAGTCCACAAAAATTATTTTAAAAAATTCGAATGTGTAAGTTAATTTATAAAACATATTAAGTTAATATTAAAAAGATAATGCAGCACAAATAAACATTGAGGTTGATATGCTTAAGGATATAGGGAATATTAGGAGAATGTCTACTGAAAAAAAAAACAACACAAAAGTACTCACCTTATTCCGCATTCCATAAATAATAGAACGAATCCATAAAGCATACATCTCGCTGCGTACGCTTTTAATATGACTCTTAAAAGACTGGGCGTGCGCTTGGCTCCAGCACGCGCAACCTCCTCTTCCCATAGACGAGCAAATTTGTCACCCAATGGACCTGAGAAACATTTAAATATTGAAATATAAAGCTACAGAATTAGCTCCGAAGGCAAAAGTATCCTAAAATAGAAAACAATATTTCGCATTTTGTCATGTTCATTTCTTATGTTTATTTGCTGTTAGAATAAGATTAGAAAGAGTTACCGACAGATATTAAAAAGTATATATTTTTTCTCAACGCTACGCCAACCTGCAATTTAAAAGGAAATCAACTAGTGGTCGCTCGCGACTTCTTCTGCGCGAAGTACAGATTTAAAATAAATAGCGTATAATATGCCCACCTTCAGTTACCTTCCCGTCAAAGTTTTGCGGACGGACATGTAGACAAAAAAATTGCTTTTCGTTATCAACGATAATGTGGTGTACGAAATATTTTTTTATATTACATACCTACACTAAAATTATTTTAATATGTATGTAATATGTTCAAATAGAAGATTGAATTGGACGAGTGAAACCTGTTTACTTTTTTCTCTTGGTCTATTAGAGTCGTAAACATAATTGAATTGAGCGATAATTTTATCTTTAATTAATCTGCTACATTTGCGATCGCGAGGCGTAAACACTATGTATAGAAATGTAACATAACTAGCGAGTACTTAAACTCTGTCGATTTTAATACTGCTGACTAATCGAAATTGTATTCGTGTTCTCCATTTTCTGTATAATATATTAAAAAAAAACATTGTGATCATCTGTAGCTTTAAGCTTGATCTAATTCAGAGTTCCTTTAATAGAAATTCGAATTCCTGTTTGGAGTGCCATAGAGACTGGTCTATTTTCATAAATCTTATAAGGCTATGCCAACATTAGTCACCTAGATTATAATTTTTAATTTAAAAATAATAACTTTTTTATAAACAATGTAACAATGCAATTGGAGAGTTTAAATAATGTCTTAAGGTCAATAAATTGGTTTATCTATATGTTAAATTCATATGCACTTAAAACTGTTATGTAGCTATTGATAAAAGTTCAATGGACTCAGATTTTTTTTACTAGCTTGACTCTAATCTTGCGCGACTGCTATTTTCTAGGCGATAATTTCCACTGGCGCGGCTACAAATGCCTTAGATGGTTACGTGTTGCTATTGTAGCTGGCCACCTAGTGGATGTGGGTCCAAACTTATAAATAATATGCCTACTCATAAATACATTTGAAACTTTGTTAAAAACTGTTTTTTCACCTAGTTATAAGTCCTACAATTTTAAAGACACTAATAAGTTAATTACGTTTCATTGAAATTATTGGGAAAGGAATATTCCTCAGTATTATTAAAAATATATATACTACCTACTATGTTTGTAACAAACTTAAAAACTATTAGACTACTTATTTTTTTTTTATTATAAATACCTGAAGCATTCTGTAGATTTACCCCAGTATGCTACAGGTATTTAAAGCTATATCTAATATTGTAAAAAATGTATAAATAAAATAAATATAAGAGAAATATTACTACAATTCTATAAATAAAAAAGTTTGAATGTTTTTTAGAACTTATCTCCAGAATAGCTTAAGGGATCTCACTGAAATTTAACATAGATGTAAAACATAGTCTATAAAAACACATAGGCTACTAATCAAGTTTTACTTGGGGCAAAAGCTAGTAATTATATAATTGCTACTTACTAGATGCATGCTCTTCCAATGGTTCATACAAGTCCCGTTCCTCCATTTCCTTTTTAAGGCCACCCCAGAAAATTGGTAATGTCCATCTAAAATCAAATCCTTTCGTTGTTATTTTCATTCCCCTTGGTTGATTTATGTTATTTTTGTTGATTTGTTTGTGTACAAGTAAATACAGTGATATTTTGGATATGAATATAACAAAAACTTGTTCATTTTTAAGTTTTTAATCATGAATAATAGAAATGTGGTATTAACTTACGCAAAGGTTAAAGCTGAGAAAATATTAGCTTTGGCCCTTGGATTTGGTGGCTTTCCTTTTTTCTTTAAGGACTCCATCTTAAGATCTGAAATAAAATCTACTATATTTTATATGCTACAATAGAAGCTTAGTACAGATTTTGTATCTCTACAAATTTTAAGCTTATTTTCAATTCAATAAAAAAAATATTATAGAAAATGTGTGACAAAATATATGAATGACCTAAAATGGCTCCCCAATGGCTTTTTGCCAAAAAAGTGCAGAAGCTTCCCTTTATCAAAGATCAAAATATATTAAATTATATAAAAAAAAATTCTAAGACAGGGTTTTTTATGTCAAAAAAGCAACATCCAATGTAAAACACTTTCATTCATAAATGTTTGTATAAAAAAACTCACCACTTTAATAATCCACAACGGACACAGTGACTGATCTTCAGAATTTAATTAGCAAATTTTGCATGGCGCGAGTCACTGGTAATTCACCGACAACCATAAAAACAGTGAGAAGTAAGAACTTGAATTATTTTCGAGACCGTCAGGTTACAAGTACCGACATATAAATTTTTTAAATTGTATAGCTAATAAATTTACTTCTGTGAAACAATTTAACCTCTAATCATTAATTTAAATATCACTGAGGATTCTGATCTTGGGTGTTAGAAAACTAACTAAAACATAAAAAAGGCAATGGAAAACAACACATTTAATCGGATTTCGAATTGACCAACCCACATTCAACGATATTGGAGACTGAGCCAGACTGAGCTCTACGTTGAGGACGGAAGAGACAGAAGATAAAATAAAATGTGCAAAATGAAATGCAAGCTGAGCCCGAAAGGGTAGTGGGGAAGCGGAGGAAAATTTTTAATGTCAACTTGACAAGACAGCTGTTTCTAATTTATGGCGAGTTGTATACTCTTTGGTCTATGGTTTATGGTTGGAATATTATAGAAATTGGAATGGAATGTAAAATGATTTTGAAAATTAGGAAACGAAAAAACGAAAATACTTTAATTGCTTATTATAGTGTGTAAAAATTGAGTTGTTATAATTGATCAATAACGCCTAGTTTACATGATGCTCGCAGGGAAGGACAGTAGAACTGGACTGGAATGGTTTATTTTAGATGAAGCATGTAAACCGAAATAGTTTTTTTTTATTATTTCAACTAGTCGAAAAACTTGTTGATTTTGTAAACTAGTTAAACATTCGTTCAATAAGCAAAGATTGGCGGGAAAAAAAATAGTTAAATGATTAACGGTTAATTCAATTATGTGATTCGTTGAGTCCATCCATGCCTATCAGTCATTGTCATGTGTCATCTCAGTACACAACTGTCAAAGAGGATATAACTAATTCGTGTCTCATTGAATTTGGTCCTGCCTGAATAAATTATGCGAGCGATTAATAAATAAAAAATAATAATATGTGAATTGTTAATAATGTTAAGACTCTTTCTCCGAAAATATAGGACTATGATACTGGCTAGTGTATTCTTTTTTTATTTAGGATGTTGTCTTACAATAAATTTTACTCGCATAGAATGTGCATTTAAAACATCAAGCAAAAACGAATTAGAAACTCGAGTGCAGTCTTTATCAAAAGCACAATATGTTGTAATTATACTTAGTAGTCCAAACAATGAGCCTAAGCGCGATGCTATAAGGGCAACGTGGGGAAATTTTGTTAATAACATATTTGTAGAAAATGGTGAAATAATAAACAAATGGAACCACACTAGAATATCAAAACAATCGCAACAAAATGTTGTTAAATTGTTGTTTGTTGTGGGTACGTTAGGTTTAAGTGGAACAAAAGCAGATAAATTGGGAAATGAACAGAAGCGTTATAAAGACTTTTTAATCCTTGAGAATGTTGAGGATAGTTACAAAAATTTATCACTAAAATTATTAAATGCCTTAAGTTGGATAAGTGAAAATTTAAAGGATATGAAATATGTAATAAAATGTGATGATGATTCCTTTGTTAGAATTGATTTAATAGTCAAAGATCTTGATGCTTTTGCACCAAGTATGAATGCACCTAAACTAAACAAATTTGTTACATTTAAGGTATGTTTCACCTATTCTTTAGACCTAAATTAATTATTAATAAAATAATTGACTTAATTGAATTAATAATCCAGTAATAAATATTTTAGGAACATCTGCCTACATACAAAGGGTTATATTGGGGTTATTTTAACGGTCATGCTGAAGTGTTCCTTACTGGCAAGTGGCAAGAAAAGGGTTGGTTCTTGTGCGACAACTACTTGCCTTATGCACTTGGTGGTGGCTATGTGATATCTCGCAGGATTGTGGATTATATAGCCCAGAATATGGATTTTCTAAGGTTTGTTTAAAAATAATTAAGCTTTATGACTTATATGATGCTTACATTAACTTATATTTAATGTGGATGTTTAAGAACAAACATTGTTTTTTTAATTTTTACTTCTTTAGAGATAAATACTATAATGTAATATTAATGTTTGAATAATATTGTCAACTTATACACCACAATCTTAGATGAATAAAAAAATGTTTTAACATAAATATTTCAGTTCTTATAATGCCGAAGATGTATCAATGGGTGTTTGGACAGCTTCATTGAATGCAATAAACAGAGTTCATGATGTCAGGTTTGACACTGAATGGAAATCACGAGGCTGCAAAGACAACATGCTCATAAGACACAAGCAAACAACAAGTGATATGTTCCAAATGTACAAATCTCTTGCACAATCAAATGGAGAAAAGCTCTGCAATACTGAAGAACTTCATAGAAAAACATATTTCTATAGTTGGAATGTACTGCCCAGTAGTTGTTGTAAAAGAAATTAATAGTAATATTATTTATTCCTAGTCTTATCTAAGATGTAATTTATTGTATTAAAAGATTTATTAATTTTTTAATACTTTATTTTCACAAATCAATGAACACAAGAATAGAATTCTTTAAATTATATTTCAACATGGAAACAATCTGAAATAAATGTGCAAGCTTAGACCACTATGCTATTAGCACATGCTAATAGAAATATAATAACAAAGATATAAAAAAAATCATGATCCAAAAGCAGTCTATAACACACACAGTGGTTTATACTTATAGTCTTTACGCAATAAAAAATAACTTAATTTATATTTTTTGTCACTTAGATATATGATTCTTTTGTCAATTACCTACCTATAAGGATATTTTTCTATTACAAAATTTGCCATTGACGTAATATGGAAATAGTCCCAAATTTAGGAAAGTAAACAAAAGGATTAATGCTTTTTATAATTTTCAATTTCTAATGATTACACAGTTTTATCATACTAACTGTCGGTTCCTGAGATCAAAAACTTATAACATATTTTTATCTCTGTCTTGTCAAAGATAACAACAAGGATGGAGATATGTTTTACAGAGAGATTTTGTTCTCAGGAACCAATGGTAAATGTATTTCCAATCTTATATACACCTAATATCACATAAGTAGAGGATTCCAACAAAACATACCTTAGTGAGATGTTTTAACTTTATAATCTATGTATGTTTGATTGTTGTGAAATGTTGTACGGGATAATTCCTCTTTGAAATAGTCTATTGTTCTCTGAAGGCCTTCCTGTAAGGTTACCTGAAACAAAACAATACTATTATATATTTCATCATTGCAACTAACAATTTACAGCACAAAAAATTAAAAAAGTAAGTTTCACTTTCTACATAAGCTAGTTATATGGAATAATTGTGAGTTGAGTGAGGTGAATCTCTAGTATCACAGGGTTTCTGGTAGGTTTCTGAGAGGAAAATCCCTGTTTAACATGTTGTTATCTCTGTTTGGTCAAAGTAAATGATAGGGATGACGATATGTTTTATACAGCGATTTTGTCTCAGAAACCAATGGTTGGTCTTTTAAATACCTTTTACATATTTCATAATTGTGTATGACTGTCGAAGAGACGAATAAGGTGTGGTAGGAGTTTGCCAAATGGAAATTCATAATCTCTGCCTACCTTTGGGTTAAGGGCGTTGTGGTGTTAAATATAGTAAGTACCTTAGGTGACCATTGTAAGTGTTTTTTAGCAAGCGTGATATCGGGACGGCGGCGTTGCGGGTCGTCCTCCACGGCCGCCCCCGTCGCCACAGTACTGCGACAGCCCGGGACTAGATTCTTTATTATTACTGCAAACTCTACACAAACTCACACATTATTATATTGTTATTTTTACACAATATACATCCAATTTGAAGTAGAAGAAGAGCTTCAAATATAGAGTAATATGAAATAATATCTTTAACATAAAATAGTTTTCTCCATTTAATAAGAAAGTAATGAATATTAGACAAATGTATAAAACAATTATTATTTGCATACCTTCTATTGTGTGTTCAACAGGATTGCCAATATTAACAGGCAGGTAATAAGTTGATTCCATCAAGGCCAACAGACCATCCACTAGATCTGACACGTAACAGAATGAACGCGTTTGCTTGCCATTACCATACACCTAGAAAACAAATGTTTTATGACGTCCGCGGGAATCAAAAAACTTTATAAATGGCCTATATGTTCTTCCAGACTATATACTGCACCTGTGCCAAATTTCATCAAGCTCCGTTAAGCTGTTCCGGAGATACCTTCTAACAAACATCTATCTATGTAAACTTTCGCATTTATAATATTAGTAAGGTTTTTAGCGACTTTTAAATAACCAGAACTTCAAAATAACAGAAGTCGAATGATGTACCTGAGATGATAGTTATTAAAAATAAAACTGAAACTTACTGTAATGGTAAGATTCTGCAAGGCTTGCATAACGAAGTTAGACACAACCCGCCCATCTGACACATGCATCCGTGGCCCATATGTGTTGAAGATTCTAGCTACCCTCACCGACACATTTTCTTGTTTGGCATATGAGTAGGCCAATGTCTCAGCAACTCTCTTGCCTTCATCGTAACATGCGCGTGGTCCTGCAAATTTAAAATATTTTAATAAATAAAGAAAAAATATAAGGATATAAAAGACTAATTAGAAATCAATATGAAAATTTACTAACCAATTGGATTAACATGTCCCCAATAGGATTCTGGTTGGGGGTGCACCATTGGATCTCCATACACCTCTGATGTACTGGCAATCAAAATTTTAGCTCCAACGCGTCTCGCCAGACCTGTACAATATGACTAAAATTTATAACTATACTAGCTATCGCCTGTTACTCCGTCCTCGCGGAATTAAAAAAAAAAACCTTATAAGTAGCATATTTGTTATCCATACTATCAGTGCCAAATTTCATCAAAATCCGCTGAGCTATTCCAGAAAATTCAAACATTCACATTTATAATCTTAGTAAGATTTTCTATGGTTAGTCAACACAATTTTGTATTGCAGTAAGTTAATACTGTCTTAAGGACTGATTTAAAAATCAACTAATATTATAAATGTCAATGTTTGGATGGATGGATGTTATCTCCAAAATGGTTACATAGTTATTTTTTAATTTTGGTATATGCATATTGCATAAGCTATATACATAATACCTATCTAATAGAATACCAAAAGAGCAGCAGGAACACGGAGGGGTACACTTACCCAACATATTAATAGTACCCAATGTATTTGTCTTAATAGTTTTTACAGGATTCTGCATATAGTGAGGTGGGCTCGCAGGACTTGCTAAATGATAAATTTCGTCTGCCTGAAAATATGGAAAAAATTTAAGTTTCAAGATTATTTCATGGATAGTTTTTGTTGAATTCAATGTCATTACAAATAACAAACATGTACACATGTAACAAAACTGTACAGTTTTATCAAAATCGAATATGAAATAGGCTTACAGTAAGCAGTCTTTGACAGCTATATAGCTATAGAGAAAAATATCAATCTTGTGCATAGTTCCATTAACTTTAAGTGTTTATTTCACTCAATAAATTATTGTTTTATAGCATGACTGTAATAGATAAGAATTAAAACAATTATGATATCTACCTCAACATATAATGGATTTACAATATCATGATGTATCATTTCGAAATTACGGTGCCCAAACCAATGTTCCACATTGCGTTTACGTCCAGTGAAAAAATTATCTACAACAATAACTTCATGTCCTTGTATCATCAGAACATCAACAAGGTGCGAACCCACAAAGCCAGCTCCTCCTGTAACCTGAGACATTTTTGTATCAAAAATAAAACAGTCGTTGGTTACAATTCATTATACAAAAGGCATATAAAATAATCAAATGATTTGTCAACCTTCATGTAGATTAACAAAAGCATAAAACAATGCTGCATATTATTTTAGTAATGTGAAAAAAAAGGATAATGTAAGTGATAAAAGTAATAGGCACTTATTAAAATAAGGATGTGCCTTTTAAATAAGTACTTTTATTTAATACTGACACTAATCTAACCAAAGCGAGTGTTTTTAGAATAAAAGTTTTGATTGTATTTTTAAACATGAATATTTGACTAACCAATATTCGTTTTCTTTCTTTATATCCCAAATATTGGACATCTGGATATTTTTGTGGTATTCTTCCTTCCAAAATTGCTATTTTCTTTTCTAACTGTTCAATTTTAGCTTTAGCTTCTTGCAATTCTCTCTTTGTGCTTTCATCAGCAACATATTTCGTTTCCATTTTTAGTTTCTTCTCACCAAGAATGTAAGAATCCTTCTTTGGTATTTCATCAAATTCTCTGTAAGCTACATCCTGGAAATCATCGTCTATTCTTTGGTGATGAGTTTTTTGTTCACTATTGTCAATGTATTTATCTTTTTTAAGAATTAGGATAATAAAGGCCACTGCAAAATAACAGTTAATTTTGAAACATGTTATGGTAAATTAAAAAAATGTACAAGTACTACTTTTTTTAAATTGCTAGAATGCACTTTTCCTTCTAAAGAGGATTAAAACCTTTACTAAATTGAAAAGCTACAAAGAAATAAATGAGGTTTCACTTACGCAAAGACAAAACACATACGATGGTTATAGTCTTCCTAAATTTTAATGATTGCCTTATCATCTCTGAAAATGTTACAGTTGTATTTTACTGTATTTACATTTCTCTACACATATTAATAGATCTGGTGATTTAAAGTCACGAACATTACATTTAAAATTATTAACACAATATTAATGCTTAAACATCTTACTACAAATAAAAATAATACAAAACAAACTGGAATCGAAGCACAACTTCAATTTGACGTCATTGTCATTTGCGAAACATCGACCGGCCGACCGGCGGACAATTAAAATGACAGTTGACAGTTGGAAAAACAGATGGGTGCCTATTCACAAAACTTCTGTAATGCAAAACAAAAATAACATAGTTTGTTAATATTTGCCTTTTGATTTTTATCAGTTTGTAGAGGATTTACAAGGTAGGTATTAGGTACTATCGCAAGTAGTATTTACTATTCGAGTTTATGCTTAAACCTAAAGTGCATGCAGTTGCCCACGACTTCATCAGCTATCAAATAAATCTGATAATAAATATTATAGCCTATGTCACCGGGAATAGTGTAGCTTCGAAAAAGTGAAAGAATTTTTCTAATGAGTTAAGAAGTTTCGGAGTCTATTCGATGGTAACAAACAAACAATCAAATCTTTCCTCTTTAGAATATTATTCTTATAGGATAGATTATACACTAGCCTAAAGAGCGAAAAGTACGTGGTACTGGTATATTACTATATTATCTGTGAAGGTACATCCCTATCCCACCTAGACACCTAGCTTAGATGTAATTTATTTTAGCATAGTTTACTTTATAATTAATGTTAAATATTACTAAATATTAGATAAGAACTTTGAAAACTTACGGTATCCACCTTACTTTCCAGAGGCTCCACCGCACCTGGTGAAGTGACGATGGCTTTTGATCTGAGTTCGTGCTGAATATGTCCGTGTGGCGCAACTATGAGTACAATTTCGTGTGTATGTTTTACATTACTAGGTCTGGCTTGACGTTATCACCATTGTACTATCAGCGCAAACCAAGCAAGACAAATATATACAAAAATGTTAGAAATATGTAGTTACTGGCACGAAGAACGTTAGTTAATTTACTCGTTTAAAGGCATTTACGGGCAACTTACCTATTGTACACTTCCTAATAATTTCTTATTTATGATACCCCAAATTACACTACATATAAAATAAACAAATGTAGTCGATGAGCAAGGTTCCAGTTTTTAGAAATTGAAAAAATAGGTAAATAATATATAATAAGCATGACATTATGTAATTATAATCACGTAAGACGGGGTAATAACTAAAACTGTTCAAGCATTAAATAAAATATATTTAATTCACTTTCTATTTCTCTCTCTCTCTTGAAGTTATTTAAAAATACTGTACAGGGTTAAGTTTAATAAAATTAAAATAAAAATATTTTTATATAATACATTTACAAAAGTTAGGAATGCATGCAGTTTCCTCTTATAGCTACAGCTTTGTCCGGTTGGTCTGAAAAAAGTCCATCAATTCCAGTCGCAATGAAAGCTCTTAGCTCGCCATACAAATCTCCTATAGCAGCCTTCGAAGGATCTTTACTTCTAAACTCTGTGGGTAGGAACGTGTTCTCTGCACGGAATGTGTACGGATGAACTTTTAAGCCTGCCGCGTGGGCATCTTGAACAAAACTCGTAGGTTCGCCTAGAGTGTTGTCTTGATTACGCGGGATAATATAACTTTTATCAGGTCCTACGGCAGCGGCATATTTAGCAACTTCTTTGAGTCCATCAGGCATTGCCATATCTGCGTATGTAAGTCCAGTTTCAGCAACAACTTGGTCAAAAGGCTGGTCGGAAGGATTACTTTCGTAGAGTTGCAACAGTTTAAGATCTGTGATCGTTTTTAAATATTTCAAGTTGTTTACCTCAAAGGATTGTATGTATACGGGTGCTGAAGAACCAATATAACCATTCTTACGGAATGTTTCAACCAAGAGATCTTCCATTGGCAGATTCAAACCTTGGAAATAAGTACTGTGCTTTATTTCGGGGTAGAGACCGATGGGACGCTGTTGGCTGATTTCTAAGCTTTTCACTAGATTGATTATTTCTTGGAAAGTCGGAATTTGGAATATGCCGTTCATACGAGCATTCCCTGGTCTCGTTTCGGGTATACGTTCGATTGCTCGAAGGGTTTTGATCTCAGCAAGAGTAAAGTCTTCGGTGAACCAGCCTGTCATTTCGTGGCCGTCGATGGTTTTAGTTTTAAAGCGATCGGAAAATTCAGGGTGCGTGGCGACATCCGTTGTTAGTCCGAGTTCGTTATCATGTCTTGCAACCAAGTGTCCATCTCGAGTCATTACAAGATCTGGTTCCACGTAATCAGCTCCCATTGTAATAGCAAGAGCGTATGCGCCCAGCGTATGTTCAGGTACGTACCCGCTCGCACCTCTATGAGCTATCACCAGTGGCTTACATTTATCGACACTATTTTTTACTTTGGTAGTGTGTATCGCAGCAGGAGCCGAAGAAACTAATGTTAAGCTCCCAACCGCACTGAGCAGTAACCATGCTCGAAAAGTGGTGGCCATTTTTAGGATTGCTGTAAAAAAAGTAATTTATTATTAATTTAATGTTCAAAATCAAAAAATTCAGATATTTAGTAGAAACGCTCCTTTATATTTGAACATAGGTAGTATTGTCTATGGCAGTTATTGTAATAGTTCAAAGATTTCCCATAGATGTGTACCTAACCTGTATGTAAGTTAAAAGGTCTCTAGAGGCTTTTGTGTGGTTAATTTCACCAGTATTGTCAATTACATTAATAATAAAAAAAAATAAGTCAAATACAAACTCTTTTCTTATGTTTATTAAAGTTTAATAATATTAGTCGTGACATTTTTAAAAAACAAATTAATAATTTTATAGCAAAAATTAAACACTTCATATATGTATGTAATTACCAACTATAATGTTTTACTGGTATTGTTCAAGGAGGCTCGTTCTTCGTCCACGTTATTGACAACCAACCGTCGAAAACCATTTATATAAAATAATGTTCTATCATTTTTTATTATTCGAATAGTGTACATATAAGTGTACAATTTTGAATAATACGACTAAATAGATAACAAGGCAAGGTATTTAAAGAATATCAAATTCTTGCATACATCTTAATTCGAGTTCGTAAACTCGTATTTACCATGACGGATAGCTATAGCCTAAATTATCATTTGCTTTTTTGCATTAACAACTTTTTTATATGCAAAATTAAAAATGCTAAGTAATTAATTAGGAAAATACACGTTTTGAAAATCAGTTAATTACATATTTAAATGCCTAATGAATATCTTAATTAAAAGGTTATGTATACATTATAATAAAAAAAAAACTTACACGTATGTACAAATCGCTCGATGTTCCGTCACTCGATAGCACTACGAAGATACTTGACCAGAATATGATTAGAACTAATGTACACTTAAACACACAAGTGCTTGAAATAAATCACGGTATTTATAACACATTTCTTAGTTAAATAAGTATTATCACTCATATAGTAAATTAAAATATTGCCAGACAACACAACAACGAGACACACTGGAGGAGGAAAACATTTGTATTTAATTCGTGACTTTGTTACGCGCTCTAGTGCTGTCAAGGCTACGTAGAAGAACAATATAAATTCATAAATTAGTATATGTTGTATTTCTAATATACTTTTGATTTGTACTGTTTCTTGATACTTTTATTATTATTGTAACTTTGTAACCTTTTAAATCTATAGCAAGAACAACCATTTATTAAAATTGTTCCATTTTGTATTTCTTCCTTATAAAAATAAAACGGCAATTATTCATCCAGGACTATGGCAAAAAAACAATGTAGATAATTAACGACATCCAATATTTTTACAAAGAATATAATGTTTAAGTTTCAATCAGAACAAGCGAAGTTTCTAGCATGTAGGTATTTAATGTTATATTTTTAAGTTAATAAATAATGATCAACAGAAGTTATTGGCAGTTGTATCCTGGAAATATGATTTTTATCTACTTTTTTTTTACCTCATGCCTAAGTTAATATGTCTTGATTACTATTCGTTGGATCGACAGAAGCACTCAGCACGTCTTCATAAAAGAACTGTGCTGGATAATAGGCGCAATTAGATTGTTTGTATTTAAGTACGCATCCAGCATGAGGGAAAATAGAAGAAAGCGACTTATTTGTTTCTATTAATTTATGAAATTTATAGCATTTAAAATTAAACTTTACAGGTGACGAAAGGATTATTTTTTTAATGTTTGTTGCCTTGAATAAGAACATTTCTAACACTTTATTAAGGCTATGTCTACACCACTCGATAAGAACACTTGAATAAACTAGACAAGAACTTGAAAACAAAGTCTATGTAATACTATTGATGGTTGCTTTTTAAAGGTTAAACAGAATATAATCATAGGATGAACGGACTATTTCTAGAGAACGATATGAGTCCAAGTACAAACTTAAGCCATTTATAATAAATATTATAATTTAACACAAAAAATCCTACTGTAGCTTGTTTTCCAAACAAATATCTCTGACGCGTAAGGGCACATCCGGTTGGTCAACGAACAGTCCATCAATTCCGGTCGCAATAAAAGTTATTAATTCTCCATTAAAATCCCCGATTGCAGCCTCTGAATGGCTTTCGCTGCGATATTCCGCAGGCAAGAAAGAATTCTCAGCACGGAAAGTGTACGGGTGAACCTCCAAACCCGCTGCGTGAGCATCTTTTACAAAGTTAGTGGGTTCGCCCAATGTATTATCCTCTTTACGAGGTATAATATAGTTCTTTTCTGGTCCCACCGCGTGCGCATACTTTGCAATTTCTCTAAGCCCCTCTGGTGTTGCCATTTCGGCGTATGTCAGTTTTGTGCCAGTAACAAACTGATCGAAAGGCTGGTTTGCCGGGTTACCGCCGTACAACTGTATTAAACGAAGATCCGTCAGCTCCTTAAGCTCCTTTAAATTATTTACTTCAAACGACTGAATGTAAGCCGGAGCCAGCGGTCCGATGTATCCATTTCTGTGAAACGTATCAACTAGCGATCGTTCCATTCCCAATCCTAAATGTTGGAAATGGGTACCGTGTTTAATTTCCGGATAAATGCCAATGGTGCGCCCCTCGCTTATCTCCATGCTTTTTACAAGATCTATAATTTCTTGGAATGTAGGAATGTCGAAAGCGCCGTCCATTCTTGCGTTGCCAGGCCTCGAGTTTGGTATGCGTTCAACAGCTCGCAGCGTTTTTATTTCGGCGAGGGTGAAATCTTCGGTGAACCAGCCGGTCATTTGTCGGCCGTCGACAATTTGCGTTCTGAAGCGACCGGCGAATTCGGGGCGCTGTGCGACATCCGTGGTGAGGCCGAGCTCGTTGTCGTGTCGGGCAATGAGGTATCCGTCGGCGGTCATCACAAGGTCGGGCTCGACGTAGTCCGCGCCCATGGTGATAGCGAGGGCGTAGGCACCCAGTGTGTGCTCTGGCACGTAGCCGCTGGCTCCGCGGTGGGCAATCACAAGCGGCTTGCAGCTGTCGGCTCCTCTCCTCGGCATGACTCTGGTGAGAACAGTCGGCGGCGCGCCGTTCACTATATTGCAGCAACCAAGCGAAATTGCCATCAACAACACCGCCATTGCTCTGCCCATCTTGATATACTTCTGGGAGAAATATAGATGTGTATTTGTTAAAGTTGTATGCTAAATTAAAACGTTATAATAAAAAGTGTTCGGTAACGTAAGTATCAAGTTTTAAATATAATTAATACACTTATAAATCAAAAATTGTATTATTTCATCGTATCACATTTTAATATGATATCGATTTATGACAACTGTAATTGTATTTTGTTTTAAAATGATTTCAAAACTGTCCAGCAAGAAAATAAAATAAACATTTACCTGTGTAGTTGTGTATTGTCCTCTATTGAATCATATAATAAATAGGCGAACAAGTCGGACATCAGCTTAACCGCTTTGCTATTAATCCTAACGTACAGATATATAGATAATTATATTTCTTATCTAAATAAGTTTTGCTAATGCGATAAATAGATTTTTTATTCTAGAAAACAAAGAAAATTTTTCAATTGTTCAATTATTAAACGACGCAACGTAAGATTTTACGAACGTTATAATCCTTTAATTAATTGCTATGACCAATTCCTCAGACAATGACTCCCCGTAAGTCTATTTTTTCCGATTTAGATTTGGATTTAGAAGGTAAAATATAAAATAAATAAAAATATACTAATTTAAATAAAGATATTTTAATTTAACGAGTATTTTATTTTATATTTTCATGTCTTCCCATTTACATTTTAGGAAATCAGATGTACAGTTTGCGGGCCTTATCCAAGGAAGGCAACATGACAAGAATGTAATAATAAAATAAAAAATTAGTAATTACATTAGAAATATTCAAAATTTTTAAGATTACGAAATAACAAATATTTTCGTCTGTTTCTATTCAAGCCGTGTCAAAATTGTTAAATTTATTACTGGCGACATGTGGCCAGTCAACAATGAATTAAGGTCGCATAATGCATAATTAACACATTGTATAAACATACAGACACCTGCTAGATGATTGAGCGTTCTTTGATTCAAGCTTTTATAGTAATAAACTTGTAAATATTATACAAATAGATGTAAATCCACTTGCACCTTACCTTTATTAAAAAATCAACGCCCACGTAGCCCACGTTTTGTAGCAGTTAGCAAGTAAATGTTGCTTCCTCGATTTTGCAATATGTGTATTAATTTTTTATATCCATAAATTAAATGATGTCATAAAATATATTACGTATTTCATTTAGAAAAGGTATTTTCGAGACAAAGTAAATCTATAATTATCTTGAATTTTTTCTACATTAAAAACCAAAAATACATGATTTTAGTAGTGTTTTAGATATTTGTTTGCAAAAGGTGACAGCAAGCTGCCAATTAAATTCGCAAAAGTCGCGAAGTGTTGATGCCCATAGATATCTGCATTTGTAGATTTGATGCTTTCATTTACACAGGAGGGAAAAATGACCCGTCTGCGAAACCACCTCCCTTTCCTAGCACTTCCTTATAAGAAAACAGTGGGAAAGGGATATGGACTAAAATTAGGTCTCCGGCACTCACACTCATCAGACGAAACGTGGAAGCACTTCCACTTCACCACATTCACTGGTCAAGTCGGCTCATTCGTGCAGATGGTATAGCGGGCTCTATCACTGTTAAAGAACGTTACATCTCTTAGAATTACGCATTATTGTAGTTAATTCTATAAGGTAAGTTGCTTATGGGGTATGGCATAAGGAAAATTAAGGAAAGTGGAAGACATTATGTTCAGAAGATTGCATTTTGAATGACGACCGATTGCTGATATTTTTATGCACTTAGGACAATGATGAATACAAGCATTTGTATCACCTGCTATATTTAAACCTTGACATAAAATTTTAGTTTAACTATATTGAAATGTTTATTTACTCAAAAGCATTGTGTTTATTACTGTACTTGAAAGATAAGGAGCTGAGTATTCAGTTATCGAATTTGACATTTCAAGAAAGTAAGTGATAACGAGATTACATGTCAACTAAGAGATCATAGCTTATACCACGTGTGGTTAGAAATAATAAAATCATTTTTTTCTGTGGCATAGTTTGGTCGTCTAATAAAAAGCATTCATACATCTTAAAAATCATTTATCCAGCGTATTTTTAAAGACCGAATATTTATTTTTCGTTTCGTATTAAAAATGAATTACAAGTTTTTGACCACAATATTGGATAAAAAATATGGCCAATTACCGTGTTGAATATCTTTGAAGTCATAATCTTCAGAAAAAAAATTCAATTCCTTTATTTACAAAGAAACAACAATAATGTCACAATTATTATGAAACTATCTACATGAAGTAACCACTCTTGACTTCATCTTACATTATTTATTTACTCTGTCAACAATGTAAAAATAGGTTAGAGTTTAATACAGAGAAGCACGCGTTTGCTTATCTGGGGTCAGATTTACACAACATTTACTTTGCAGTCGGTATCTATCCGAATCATGCACGTTTATTACGTATTATTTATCGACGCTTAATATAAGAAAATCAGGTTAAAGAACAACAACAACTAACATAACACCTGTAACCAAAAGATCCAACCAAAGACTACATACGTCATTTGGCGCGCTACTAACACATGTCTCTTGCTTCTTCTACATTCCATCATGTACGTCATAACGAACTTTTTGAGACCATCAAGAAGATCAAAGAAGTATTGGTTTATTTTATTTAAAATTGATTATGTAATTATGTGACAATATTCACACTATTAGAGACATAATGGATGCTTCATTGTTTATGGTTTTAAAAAATACACTTAATATTTTCACGAGCAGTTAACAATTATCTAGTTGATAAAGATGGTGTGCGCAGTAAGTATACGATCAGCTCAGTGACATTATTGTTGAATAAATACTTTTATTAAAACCGAACACATCCCCCGAGGCGTACAACGAAGACCCCTGTATGTTGACACATAGATTTAATGTTAGGGTTGATACAAGAAATTTGTATTCATATGAAAATTTATTTAATATTATTTTCCCCAAAAATTTTCTAATTTGAATTTACGTTTTCATCATCATCAACCTGCCGTTATCCCTATCGAGGGTCGGCACAGTATGTACTACTCCTCCATACATCTCTATCAGCCGTCATATCCGAGTCTACCCCCTTCTTACGCATATCCTCTTTCACACAGTCATTCCATACTTTTTTTTGGTCCAATTTGAATTTACGTTTTCACTCTCAAAATAGATGTATAAAAAGCACTGAAGTTACACTGTTACAGACAACTGTTTAAGACTGAATTACCATGACAAGATGAGATTATTTACCAAATGTATCTTTTCATATTATACAATTTCATTATATATTAAATGTTGCATTTTCTTACAATAGTTAATCTTATATTCTAAAAAAACTATAGATAAGAATATTTTTCTTTTTATTTTAAGTAAAAGATTAATTAACTTATTTTTAATTTGAAACTACATATTTTTATTTCATTTCATTATTACGTTATCAACGTTGACATGGTTTTTTACAACTGGTGTTACTGAGTAATAAATATCCCTTAAGATTAGATAATAAACATCATATTTTTTAATAATTTATTCGACTGATCTTTTTGCATTTTAGTGTATTTCTCTCAGCCTTGTTGCAGTAAGGAAAAAGCTGTTAGTATATTTAGATGAACAATGTATTATATTACGTTATCTATTTTGTTGATTTTTTTCTTTATGTTGGCAGCCCTTAACCATACGCGTTTAAAGGATCCCCCGGCGCGTCATCCCTGGTGAATTTCGTTTGTTTTTTCTCTGTATACCTACCCCTCGCCACTATACGATGCCTCTAATCCTCGCAGATCGAATTAATAAAGTTTGTCGTTAATCATTATCGTAAGCTGCGAATACGAAATTAGACGTTGATTACATTAAGGGTGAATGGTTAAGTCCAGTTTATTAGGAAATGAAGATTTACTGCCGTATAAAGAACTTTATTATTTTTTCGAATCAACGGATTATTTAAGAATCCAATTATGCGTGGCTAGTTTATTTTTGACCAGACTTTCGTGGCATACAACGGTATTGGTTATTACTTATTTTATAGAACTTGTATGTTTATCATCTGAACGAGATTACTGCTTACTAAGTTGTCATGGCAACCAAATTTACATAGCAAACAAAAGATGCAATAGGTCAGTATAAAATGAAATTGAATGCTTATATCTTGAGGTTTGTTTACTAACATTACGAAATATGTTTATTATTATAGCTCAATAAGAAAATTTTATGATAATTTATGTGGCTATCAAGGTTCTAATTTGTCATTTTTTAAAGTTAATATCTGTTACTAGACAAAGTTATATTAATTCGATTATAAATAACAAAACTCTGTGGGCTTCAGCAATATATTGCTGTGATTGTTGGAAATTCAATATTCAACCCTAATTCTCTTGTCGGACGATCTCTCCCAAGGGACAACTTTATATTTGCACCCTTGTAACAAGAGGGTACTAATTGTGTTACATCAAAAACACTAAGCATGCGTAAACAAATATATTGTTTGTTTTATATATCAGACATACCAAACAAATACATCCAACTACATTACACTTTGAAGACAGCATAAAATCAACAATTTATTAAAATAATGCAAGATCCTATGGTGCAAATAGACATATAGAGGCGTACCTTTTTCTAAAAGGCCGTCAACACATGCAGTTCCTCTAGTGTTGTGAAAGTCCAAGGGACAATCACTTCGATAATTCCTCCGCTCCTTACCCCCATCTATTATAAAAAAAAACCAAGTAAACGAAACATAACTAGAATTACAGGACATCATCATCATCACTATCCGCTTGAATTCGTCCACTACTGAACGTTGTCCTGCTCCATCGATTACACAATGCTCGGTCCTGTGCCACCCGCATGCTGTGCACTCCCGTAACCTTGACCAGGTTATCGGTATATCTTGCAAACTAGCAACATCTACTTTAAAATACAGTAAATGTAAACGATTTAATTATAGATCGATGTGAAGACACAAATTCTCTTTATCAAGCAACGTGCAATAAATAAGCCATCATTAATTTTTTTTAAATAATTCTATACTTTAAAATTGAATGTATCTGAACACGATCACAAAAAAAGGATACGACATGTTTGGTGAAGATGAAATATTTTATTCAGAAGTGATTTCGTTAAGTGGATAATGGGTGGGTTGGTCAGACCGGGCGGGGCGGACACGCCTCGCAAACATCAGATATTTTTAATTTTTTTTGGAACTAATTTTTTCAACATTAATACAAATATTTGATTACAGATTAAAATTCTTATACAACTTATCGATTAGTCATTTATATTTTTAAATCGACGACGATTTAATCAACAAGCTCAAGGACTGGT